TTTTGCAGAGTTAACAGTTAATATTTAGTGGGTGTCAACAGCCAGTTGTCATTTTTAGCTTTAGTGCAATTTTTTTTACAGTAAAAAATACATTCATTTTTTTTTTAGTTGTATACAGCGTTACGAAAAATTTAGAAAGGGTACGCAAAAGTCATAAGTTTGGGAAACACTGCCATAACCGATTAGTGCCGAATTTTAATACTGCGATATACTTAACAATATGGCTCTACATTTTTTTTTCAATTTAAGTAATTTTTTATTATTTTTACAAAGCTTAATATTCCCGGTTTTGAAAATAAAATGTCTCAACACTCATAATATAGTATTCAGTAATAAAGAAGATTTTGAGAATAGATAGATTTTCAGATAAGAAGATTTTGCCTTCACAAGGTATTTGTCCATCTTACATTAGCACATAAAAAATTTGAACGTCTTACATGAAGAAACCTAACCTACGGTAAACACGTGGTTGCGGATATCTGCGGCAGTGTGGCATAGGTAATATTGCCCGCCTCTGTGACTTCGCTCGCCAGGCTAAGCAAAACGAGCAACAATTCCAGAATCTTCCACGGCGAAGTTCAGTGCATGCCGTTAAAAAAAAATAGTTTTATTTAACTTTTTTAAGCTCATCGACGAAAGATTTTTGCTATTTAAAACTTTCTTTCATAATATTAAGACGCAGGAGTTTAGACTTAATTGATATAAGTCTTAAATGTTTTCACTCAAATACATAATTTAAGTACTTTTGGGGAATCTATCCGCATGTTCGTACGTCCAGCAGTGGACACGGTTCCTAGCAAAAAGTAAATCATCGTAGAGATACGGTTCCCAGTAAAACACCGCAGTTAAGCATCGCTGGCTGCGGTCAACAAGCGGGAGGGTGACAAATTTTGTCAGTCTGCGTAGGGACCGAGGGTAAGTGGTATCGGTCCTCGTTAAACTGTTCTGCCGTAAAGTGCTCGAATTCGGGCGTAGGTCGTCCGGCTACCAAAGTAGGGGAGCTATCCTCTCTGCAGAGGATCAAAAATAGAGATGGCATGTCTTCGGATTATCCTCAGGGATGTTTCCCAGACCGTCGCCAATACCGACCGAGTATGCAAATGAAACTCCATTGTGCAGCTCTGGTGCGACGTAAATGAAGTACCTACCTAAGTACCTTATAAATAAGCGTAGGAAACCTTACAGTATGGTTACTTTTAATTAGAGTACTGTAAATGGGGCAGAGTTGCACATGCGAGTGCAAGAATCTCACCGAACTCAGCTCATGTGGACCCGCAAGTATTTCATCAAACAAGTAAAATTATTGGAACTTTCATACGCTACGGACCGATGGTATGCCGAAATGAAATTGTGTTTGAATGAATTGTGTTGTTGTTGCTGTTGTTAATTTACGTCGCCCTGGAGCTGCACAATGGGCTATTGGCGACGGTCTGGGAAACATCCCGGAGGATGATCCGAAGACATGCCATCACAATTTTGATCCTCTGCGGAGGGGATGGCACCCCCGCTTCGGTAGCCCGACGACCTGCGCGCGAACTCGAGCACTTTACGGTAGCACAGTTTAACGAGGACCAATACCGCACACCCTCGGTCCCTACGCAGACTGATCCAAGTGGTCACCCACCCACACACTGACCGTAGCCAGTGATGCTTGACTTCGGTAATCTGCTGGGAACCGTGTCCTAACGATCAGTCCACTGCGGGACTTGAATGAATTGTGAAAACGTTGAATAAATAGAAAGTACAACGTGAAAACCACGCTTTTGCATAATACGTGGCGAAAATCGACAAGGTAAAGAAAAAAAAATCTCATTTTCTAAAAGGGAAAATTAAGCACTTTTTAAAAACTCCCAATAAAAACGCACCCTAAAGGGTATTTTTAAAAAAAAATCGAAAATAAGCACCTTTAATCTTAATCTAATTTGTAGATGTCATATCATCCGAAATCCACTTTTTCGAATATTTCACCTAATAAGACAAATTTATTTGTATTTTCAAAATTAAATTTCNGTTCTGTTGTTCGAAAAGGTTCTGAACAATACTGGTAAATAGGGAAGCTAGATAACGGGGCAGGTGTTGAAAATAATGAAAGATCCAGGAAGAAGAGTGAAACGGATTTTATTCTAAATGGCGTAATTCTAAGCTTTGCACGGTTCCCAGTAAAACACCGTAGTCAAGCATCACTGGCAGCTGTCAGCAAGAGGGAAGGTGACTAATTTTGTCGGCCTGCGTAGGAGCCAAGGGTACGCGGTATCGGTCCTCGTTGAACTGTTCTGCCATAAAGTGCTCGAATTCGGGCGTAGGTCGTCCGGCTACCAAAGCAGGGGAGCTATCCCCTCTGCAGAGGATCAAAAATAGAGATGGCATGTCTTCGGATTATCCTCAGGGATGTTTCCCAGACAGTCGCCAATACCCCACTGTGCAGCTCTAGAGCGACGTAAATAAAGTAGCTACCTAAGTACCTTAAAAATAAGCGTAGGAAACCTTACAGTATGGTTACTTTTAATTAGAGTACTGTAAATGCGGCAGAGTTGCAAATGAGAGTGCAAGAATCTCACCGAACCCAGTTCATGCGGACCCGCAAGTATTCCATCAAACAGGTGAAATTATTGGAGATCTCATACGCTACGGACCGACGGTAAGGCGAAATGAAATTTTGTTTAAATGATTTGTGAAAACGTTGAATAGAACAACGTGAAAACCACGTTTTTGGCGAAAATCGACAAGGTAAAGAAAAAAAATTTCGTTTCCGAAAAAGAAAAATTGAGCAATTTTTAAAAACACTTAATAAAAGATCTCCTTCAAGGGATTTTAAAAAAAATCGAAAATAAGCACCTTTAATCATAGTCTAATTTGTAGATGTCATATCATCCGAAATCCACTTTTTCGAATATTTCACCTAATAAGACAAATTTATTTGTATTTTCAAAATTAAATTTCTCAAGTCCGATTTCGCTTAAATTTTTCCGTGTAAAATGGCATTCTTTAAAACGATGTAAAAAATAGTATATACAAATTTTTTTCCAACTATTATTAAATAAAATATAATAAATATTTACTAAAAGTTTTTTTTTTTTTTTTTCACATATTGTNTATGTTTTTTTTTTTTTTTTTGCGTGGAATTATCTTTGGATAAACGAATTTCACAATTGCGTGTAAAAAATGTTCAACTCTCTTAAAATATTATCGAGAAATGGAGAAAATTTGCAAAAAGTAAAATTATCTCTTAAAGGGATCCAAAAAGAATTAATCCAAACTTCTGACTGCTCTCCTGATCAAACTATGGGGATCATATTTTCCAGATTGCGACTACCCCCTATACTTTGGGGGTCTGAAATCCGAATCTGTCGAGGAAAAAAAAAGGTATGTTTATTCAAAGAAAGTGCTTTTTTGTTTACTTTAGCAAGAGCGGGTAGAAGAGTTAAATCCACGGTTAACAGCAAACGATATTCAACTCTAGTTAAACTCACGAGACAAAGATTATTAATAATCAAAACACTAATCAACATCGATTTTTGGAAAATTTCACAATGGCAAAAGAGTTAAGAGTAAATCATAATAATCTTCTAAAATATATCAATAACATAATGAGCTGTGATTGCACGGCGGTAAAGGCACTTGACTGTCATTGTGCATAGCGTAAGATCAGACTTAAAGCACACCCAGCTTCAGGTCAGTGGGTACCAGCTTGACATTTGGGAAGTAAAGGTGGCGAGTGCGCAGGGCTAACCACAATGCCACCACCAAGGTGGAGCCTTAACCTCCATCACCCCCTTGGCTATTGCGGAAATTGTTTATTGATTTATTATTGTCATTATTACTATTTATGTGTATCTTAAGAATAATTTTAATTATAAAAGATAAATAAAAAAAACTATTTAAACGTAGAAGCCTTTTAACCTTTTTTTTTCTTTGCCTTGCGAAAACCAGCTAAACAATTAAAGATACAAATTCTTCCAGAAACTTGTTGCAAGGAAAATTATAATTTTTTATTGGAGTTGCGATTTTAATCCACGAAAAGTAATTACGCAAATTCTTAAAAATTTTAAATTTCCAAGTAATAAGAAAACGCGTGTAAGGAAATAAATGGAAGAAAATAAAAATTGCCAGGAAAAAAAAGTTCACCTTTTTAAAAATTACTTTAATTAGATTGTATAAATAGATAGGAGAAATTAAAAGATAGATGGTAAAACCATAAAAAAGCTGATTTGAAGTAATAAAAATTTAGTAGTAAGTTATTGTTAAAGTAATAGTTGATTTCTGTGAGCTTCAAGCCTAAAATTAAAAATGTTTTTCGTTAAATATATTTTGCTGTGATTTTGTTTGCTTTTTTTGATCGATTCTTCCAACAACTGGTTCATAACAATACTTTGTCATTATTTTACTATGAATCACGTTTTATAAATCCAAATTTTGGCATTATTGTTTCATTATTAGTCCTTACGTTCAATAATGGATACACACTCTGCGATACGGCCCTAAAGAAGGTCGTGAACGAAAAAAATGAGATAATATATGTAGAATAAATAATTTAATTTCAATTTTTTTTTCGAATTTCTTTAACCAAAACCTGTTCAAAATAAATATAAACAAAAGGTTTATTTAAAAACTGAAGAAATAATAAATATATATATAAAGTAAAACATTAAAAATAAATATTTCAAAAGAAAGTTGAAAACCTGCAATCATTTTATTCTTAAAAAAAAACAAAAACAAAAAAACAGCGAATTCAAAACTTCTTTTTTTTTCAATTCATAAATATTTTAATCGTACTTTTTAAATATTATATGCACTTTAGTTCAATTTTTAAAACAGATTGATCTTGCTTTTAATAATATTTAAGTTATTATCAATTGATAAAATCAATTATCAATTGATAAATAATAATCAAGTTGTTATCAATTAATATAAAACCACATTCATAGCGGCTCCAAAAGCAATTTTGTGGACCCCCAATCAAAGATTTAAACGCTCATTAAAATCTTAAAAGAAGTACTTACTGAATTTCAGAATCATCGTGTTCTATAAATGTGAGCGAACTCTTCCGTAGAATGCTCTTAACGGGCAGTTTTGTTAAATTTTCCGTCATGATCACGAAAGTTCCGCGGTTTTTTTATGGTTTCGTTTAAACCTTCTTCACAGCTGATTTGAAAATTTCTTCTCCAGAGAGAGAGAGAAAAAAAAGAAAACAATATCTTTCACACTAACGCAGCACGAACACCGGCAAATAGATTCTGCCTTCTCGTCTATCAGAGAGAAGAAAACGTTGGCGGCATCACCGAACGATGGCAAACAGAAAACTGTTTCCAACCATCGCCAATGGTTGCCTCTTCACTTCGCCAAATTTGGTGAGTAAAATTTATAGTTCAGTAGGGCAAGATACTATACTAACGGCATTTTATCCGAATGGAATTTTAATTCGTTTATTTATTTATTTATTGTTTTTTCAGGTATTTGATGCTAATTGTGCAAATTGAATTTTTTATTTTTGATACTATATGGTTTTATGTTTTAATGCAAAATAATATTTTTATGCGTTTAATTCTTAAATATTGTTTGAACCCCGAAACGGTGTATTACAAAAGTATGACCTGTCCACTTCCGTATCCATAAAGGTCAAAAGGCTGAATAAAAACATTTAGATATTTTGTAATTCTTTTTTTTTTTCATTTAACGGGAAATTATGATTAGAAATATAAAGAGTCATTGATTTAACCTGTAACAGAATTCATTATTTTATTTTATTTATTCATTTTCGCTTTTGCTGAAGGATAATACTGTAATATATATATATATATATAAGTACCTACCTAAGTACCTTATAAATAAGCGTAGGAAACCTTACAGTATGGTTACTTTTAATTAGAGTACTGTAAATGGGGCAGAGTTGCACATGCGAGTGCAAGAATCTCACCGAACTCAGCTCATGTGGACCCGCAAGTATTTCATCAAACAAGTAAAATTATTGGAACTTTCATACGCTACGGACCGATGGTATGCCGAAATGAAATTGTGTTTGAATGAATTGTGTTGTTGTTGCTGTTGTTAATTTACGTCGCCCTGGAGCTGCACAATNTATAATCGGTGAAATTATATTTTGTTTTCTGGCTTTTAAAATTAATAAAATTTTTTTCGATGTTTAAAATTTTTTTTTGAAAAATCTAATTGTATTTTTAATATTTTTTTCCTCTCTTTTTAAAAAATACTTTTCCTTTTTATTTATTTCCACCTTTTTTCGTGTTATTGTTTTTTTTTTTTTTTTTTTTTTTTTTTTTTTTNTTTTTTTTTTTTTTTTTTTCTTATTATAAGAGTTTTACACTCTTACAGCTTATGCGCTGTTAATAAAAATTATTAATTGTTTGCTTGTTTTTTGTTTCTTTGTAAATTCTCTTTTATTTATTTATTTTTTTTTTTTTTGTTGCTTAGATCAAAAAAAAAAAACCTTTTGTATTATGACAGATCGCGTGCAGGACCAACTGGCAAACGTAAGCAGCTAAAGACTATTTAAATATGAAATAGACAATTATAAATGCAGCACCGAAGGAAAATTCGAACAAAAACAACTTTTTGGCAGAAACGAAATAATTTTGTAATGCATTTTAAGTTATTGAATCCAACGGATTATAAGGCCCTTTTAAATATGTGATCATCCACAAATGATGTCACGCTTAAAAGGAAGGCGTGGAACAGTTCGTGACAAGAGTGTGGGAGGATTAACAAGAAGCGTGACATCCCACATTTTGATTAGAAGAAAACATTTTAAACGAACACATTAACTATTTTTATAATTCTTGTTGTCATATTTTTTTTCCATTTCTTACATGCTTATACCCTTGTACACTTATAGTCAGAACACAATAAGATAGTCCTTATTATTGTTATGCTCTCAAATGCCAGTACTTAAAGTTATAAATTATGTCACAATTAAAATTAAAACTTTAAATGTGATCTAGAACGAAATGCTTTGTTTCTGCTCTTCCAATCCAATGTTCCTTTCAATGAGGGGAACCGGGTTCGAATCCTGGCGATGACTGGCCGATAAAAATTACGCATCCGGCCTACACGGACCACAGTGCTGACGGGAAATATCCTCGGTTGGTAGACGGATCATGGGTTAGAGTCCCCTTGCCGTCAGGTTAACCGTGGGAGGTTCTCGAGGTCTTCCTCTCCTTGTAAAACAAATGTTGGTTAGCTCCATCGAAAAGTCCTCCACAAAGGAAAATTTCTGCTAATACTTGATCCAGGAGTTCCCTTGTCTTCTGGATTGGGTTCAAAATTACAAGACTACGGAGTTAAACATTAGTAGTCGTAAACCCAAAAATTGGGTCGGCTGCTCAAAGGCGATTATAAAATAAGATAAAAAAAATATTATATATGGTTATGCAATGTGTAACATGGTGACATGTGGGGGGGGGGTATAGGACGAAACAATTTCGCGTTAAAGGCAGCAACATTGCTAAGGGCACATCGTTTTATTATTATTATTATTTTAATAAATACTATGTCATTATTATGAATATTTTATAATATTTTTTTAAATGACTTTATTTCACGATTGTTTCTTAAAATTTTTCTTCATTTCAGAAACGTGTTTATTGTAATGTTTACCACATTTTGAGAAATGCATATCGTCATTAATATTAACAGTTTTATTTAATTGTTCAAAATATTTTTTTTTTTTTTTCCTCAAACAGTAGCCACAAATTTTTTTTTTTTTTNTTTTTTTTTTTTTTTTTTTTTTTTTTAAAAAAACCATTGTAAAAAATGCTGCAACTAATGCGACCACGGGCTTGGAGCAAAAGTTTCTAATTTTGCCCTATATATTCAAGTGCGAGAAAGAGGAGGCGGGGTTCGAACTTCGAAAAAAGATGTGACGTCATTTATGAACGTTCCCTAGATAACTCTAAGTACAAAGCGACGAAACAATATCTGTCTTTTTACACCGAGTGCCATGAATCAAACAAGAACCGGTGAAACATCTGTTGTTCCCTATCTAGGCATAAAGGTATAGTTTGTCTAAAGTAAGAACTCCCCTAGTCATTCGACTGGACCCGTGGCGGTGACTAGGGTAACGATGTATAACTATTTCAAGTAGGGGTTTGAGATTATTACTTAGGACAGGTTTTGTCTCGGGACGGCGAGGGAAATGGAATCTTTTTCTCCGGTCTATTGTGAACTAGAGTGAAGAGAAGCTATAATTTGTCTACGGTAAGAACTCCCTTCGCCACAAAGTCTGAGGCTGTCTGCTGCTATGGAAACAAGAATAGCGCATTTCAGGGAGGGTAGTTTCTCTTCACTCTAGGACTAATGATTCCCTTTCTATCGCCAAAACTTGTCTTAAACAATTAACCCACATCCCTATTTGAAATAGTTATACCTCGTTACCATAGTCACCGCCACTGGTCCAGACTAATGGCCTGGGGAGTTCTTACTTTAGACAAACTGTACCCACCCTGAAATGAGCTATTCTTGTTTCCATAGCAGCAGACGGCCTCAGACTTTGTGGGGGGGAGTTCCTACCATAGACAAACTATAGGTAGGTATTTTATTTACGTCGCACTAGACCTGCACAATGGTCTATTAGCAACAGTCCAGGAAGCATCCTTGAGGATGATCCGAAAACATGCCATCACAATTTTGATCCACTGCGGAGGGGATTGCTCCCCCTTTGTCAGTCCATTGATCTGCACACGAAGTCGAGCATTTTACGTGCAGTTTAAAGAGGACCAATACCGTGCATGCTGGGTCCCTACGCGGGTTGATCAAAGTGGTCACCCAACAGCTTACTGACTGCAGCCAGTGATGCTTAACTTCGGTGTTCTGCTAGGAAGCATTTCTCCAGAGATCAAATACCACTAGTACTTTACAATTAACCTATTGTTTGTTAGACACATGTTCTATAATAGGGGAGGCCAACCTGCGGCATTTGGAAGGACTATTTGTGGCTCACGATAAATGTACCCGAGTTCCCTTTTCCCTTTTGTGCTATTATATTTTAAAAAATTATTATCGCTCCGTGTGTGTTTCAAAATGTCTTTTAAATTACTGACAACAAATATGAAAGACTAAGTGCAAAGATTGTTACAAATTTCATTTCCATCCAAATTAAGAATAATATAACTCAACGAAAACTGCGAAATATATTTGAAAATAGATTCCAAAATAGATTTCAAGACTTGAAATATTTTAAATCGTCTCTTGATTTCTTTCTGAATCCATTTGAAATTAACATAATTCAAGGTGAGTGTTTTCCATTTCCAATATAATTATGACCCAAAAAGCATTTGGAAAATTAGAATTAATAGAGATGCAAGAAGATCAAACTCCACAGTTAAAATATAAGTCGACATCGATTACTGAATTTTGGAAATTTGCACCACAATCGAAGTATCCTGAATTAAAAAAGGCTGCTTGTCGAATTATTTCAATATTCGGAACAACTTACTTCTGTGAATCATTTTAATCCACTTTAAAAATTCGTGAAATCCAAACACCGATCAGTATTAATTAACCAGCATCTCAAAGAATTACTGAGAAGTGCTGTCACCAATTATTCACCAAATTTTAAAGAATTATCAAGAGAAGTAAAATAAATGTGTTTAATATTTAAATTCGATACACATATTTTGTACTTTTATATATATGTTTTATATAAATATAATTTCTGTAAAAAAAATTATTAATACCATTTTTGCATACCTTTTAAATATCTGTATAATTGCTGCTCGTGAAAAATTTCAAATTTTGAAAAATGGCTCGACTATCAAAAAGCTTGGCCACCCCTGTTCTATAATTTATTTACATAAGAGAACTTTTTAATCGATATTTCGAAAAACAAGTCATTTTTTTAAAAATTTTATATGCAATGTAACTTTTTTTTTTCTTCTTTTCGTTCTGAATCACAGACGTCATTTCTCATTAAGATGACTTCCATAATAACTTCCCAAATTAAAAACGCAACGTATATTAGGTGTCGGGAAAAAATAATAGTGAGGTGAGGAAAAAAACAAACGTTTCTATAATTCATTTTTAAATTCAAGAAGTTTGATTCATATCCACCAAAACCTATCCATTTGTTTAATGAACAGAAATATATACGTTTTTCACTAGAAACCATGTATCAGTTTCATCTTTAAAAAAAAAAAAAAAAAAAGCTGGTGGTATTTGATTTTAACTGAGTTTTTGCTTTCATGGTAACTGCTGTTGTTATTTAGGCCAATTGCCAATACCAGCAAGACTGCTTGAATTGAAATCAAGCGAATTTTTAAAGCAGAGAGTGTGTTTCTTATTTTTTCAGTGGCGCCACCTATGGCCAAGAATACTACTTCAGCCACACACACGTTTCAGCTCGTTTTACAGGAAGGACCTAATCATTCTCCATTTATTTATTCACAGGTCGCAATTTTGACCAGAAACAGAGAACAAACAATCTCTAATTCAGTACCTCCAGAGGTATAGATTTGTTATGGGATCTGGGAGGACTTTGTGACCCCAACAGATGTTCCGTGAACCAGTCACCATTTAATAACACGCGAGAATTCAACGGCCGGCGGGATTCAAACTCACGATCTCACGAACCATACGCCGAACGTCTTACCAACCAGGCTATCGCGGCCCACGATAACTGTATTTGATGATGGTAATTGGATATTGATTGAAATTTTATCTCTCAAATATTAATTTGTGACCAATGTTTTTTTTAAAACTTAATTTACTATAAAAACTCCAGTACGTAATGAAATGTCCATAGAGAACTCCTTTAAATATATGTCGCATTATTTATTCATAACATACCAATTTATGTCTTTATTATATTTGTTTAGAACACATTGGAAATCCCACGGAAGAACGAAAAACACAAATAAACAGGAAACGCATTCGAAAGAATATTTCCTCGTTATGTTTGCTGTTAATAAATTACTCTTTACAGAAATGTTGTACGAATAGTAGAACATTCTGAATTAATTTTGATCTAATAATCGGATTTTCACGTACCAGGACTCGAACTTAATGATTCACTGGGTTGACCTAAAACATGAGTGCAGACGATATTTTAAATTACGAAATCAGACACAACATGCTTTCTCTGAATTTCTCTCCTTTTCTTTTTTTTTCTCCAACCGATTTGTTTTTGACCCTCATAGTAAGGACTACAATTTGAAGAGATCAAATAGTTTCGATAGAAGAGCGTTCCAAAGTTTGAATCCCCTGTTAATTTTATTTTTTGAGTATTTCGCCAAAGATTGAGAATTTTTTTAAGCGAATTGAAAAATTTTTACACACAATTATACAGTTCGTTTATATAATTCCATGCAAAAAAGAATAATTTTTATTAATTATTTATTATTTAATTTACTAATAGGCGAAAATATTTTGAGTTGTGAGGTTTAGAAATTCTTACATCATTTTAAAGAATGTAGTTTTATATTTCAAATCATAAACTGTGTGCAAAATCGGTCAAATAGTTCTTGAGAAATCGAATATTTGACTTTGGAGAAGAAATGCCGTGTATCTATGTTAAACTTGCAAAAATGATTTAAATTTTTTTATTTTATTTTAAATACTGGATTTAATAGTTTTTTTATTTAATTCCGCTTCAACTCTATACGCATACTTAGAACTACATACTAAATAAGCATATCCAATTCTGTGTTTCTATGTCAATGGTTAAGCATAGTACTTATAACGTAATTATGTGACATGCTCAACGTTTGTTAAAAATATTTACTAAACTAAATAATTTATCATACTTGCTTTTTTTATTTCACATTATTTTTTATTTTATGGGTCGTTGAACAGCCAACCCAATTTTGGGCTTATGACTACCAATGTTCAACTTCGTAATTTTGAACCTAATCCAGAAGACAAGGGAACTCGCGGATCAAGTATTGGGGAAAATTTATCTTCGTGGAGGACTTTTTGATGGAACTGACCCGCATTTGCGTTACATACGAAGACAACCACGAAAACCTCCAACAGTTAGCCTGACAGCAAGGCGAATCTAACTCATGATCCGTCTACCACTGATGATATTTTACGTCAGCACCGTCGTCGGTGCGAGCCGGATTCGGAATTCGTATCGACCAGCCATCGCTGAGATTCGAACCCGGTTCACCTCATTGGAAAGGGAACGCTCTATCCCCTGAGCCACCATAGCTCCACACTTGCTCTTGTAATATATTAAGTTAATCTTAAGTTAATTACATTTAAGTTAATCTTATTATCCCAATCTTTTCTACTCAATCACCCACTTTGTAAGGATATTAATGTCACGATGAGGCCCATACTCCAAATTTCTTGACACCTGCCACGATGAAAGCAATCCTATTCTGCAGGCACGACCAAACAAACTCGAACTCAGTGGCACAAGGCCCCGAGTCAAGGGCGCCGGCAAGGGGGTGCACTTGCACCCCCTGGCTTTTTTTAAACAATTAAAGAGGCACAGAAAAACAATTTTGTTATAAACTTTTTTAATTAAAAATATTTTTATTCAAAAACAAGTAATTATTGATACATAACAATTAAAAAATTGTTTAATCAAACAAGAATTGTAATCGTCTTGTTTGCTGTCCAAATCTGTTCATAACTTTTTCAATGAATTTTGAGTCATCTTTGATTCTTTTCTTATGCACACTGTACATGCACGAACTACTCCATCTCTCATGAGACATTGTAGATCGATTACATGTTTTGATGCGTCGCATTGTACTAAAAGTGCGTTCAAAAGTGCACGTAGTAGCTGGAAGAGTTAGGCCAATTTTGATTACCTCCGCTACAGCTGGATGAAACGGTGTGTAACTATAATCGATGTATTAGAGCACTGATTCTCAACCACTGTGCCGCCAAATTCTTCAGATGTTCCGCCAAATATTAGAAACGATACAATAAAAATTATAATGCTTTTTTTCTAATTATGAGTAAAGTTTAAATTAAAGAAAAGTGTATATATATATACTTATATATATATATACTTTCAAACGGAAATAAAAGCTCATCAAAGTAAGGTATGAAATTAATAAGCAAATTAACAAAGGATAACTAAAAAAACAAATATATCAAAAACAAATTAACAAAGGATAACTAACAAAAAATAAGCTAACAATTAATAATTAGAAAAAAAAACTAGTTAACAAGAAAAACGGTCTTTCAACGAAGATATAATGCAGTCCAAATAAGGAATAAAGATTGACCTCCTGAAAAATTCTTCTGCGTTTTTAGAAGGCACATTCGATATATAGCTATATTTTTAAATTTCATTTAATAAAATATAAATAATATTATATTTTCTATTAGTTATTTAGTTTAAAAAAGGTGTATAACACTAACTGACTTCTCACAACAGTAAAACTTCATCAACACAATAAACACCAATGTTAAGCGTGCACAAACACGCTTGTATACAAAACTGCTGTTTGTAGTTATTTGTGTTTCAAAGTTAGTAGCTGTGCCATCAATACAGTTTCTCCTGGCAAAATTTGCAAGTACAAGAAATTCGCACTTTCTTTTAAATATCTTGGTAACAATGAAGAAATGCATTTTGAAAAAAACTAACAGATGAAAGCATGTGATAACAAAACAAAATGTAATAACAGAATATTTTTAATTTCTTTTTTGGGGGGGAGGGGGTTATTTTGTTAGAGGGTTGCACCCCCTTTCATACTATACTGACGACGCCCTTGCCCATTGTCATGAACAAGAAAAAAAACGTATCATGCACATTGAAGACAGAGAAAAGTCGAACACTAAGCCACGAGGCGAAAGCCACAATGATGCAGTGCCTTATAGTAGGTGTTGATTTTTTACATGCAAATTTAGCAGTTGATTATTCACGGAAAAGTAGTTAAATAATTTTTTTTTATTTCATCGTACTTCTTAAACATTTTTGACACACCTATGTAATCTCCTGCTGAAAAACTAAATGTAACGTAAAATGATAAAAAAATCCATTTAACACAAGCAAATTGAAATTTCAAAAAAAAAGTTCAGAAACAAAAATTGCCCTTTTGGCACTAGTCAGTACAAAATACAAAAATTTAACAGTTAATAGCTCACGAACTAATTATAGGATGCTATATTTTTATTTCATCGCATTATATTGTAAACATTGACTGCAATAATTGAGTGAAATAATTAATTAAATATTTTTCTTTAAAGAAATTAAATATTGTCCTTGTCGTTTCATATCTAAATATTGTTTAATAATTGTAGATATAATTTGATTGCTTTAAAAAAAAACTACGAACACAAATTATTAGATAAATAATTCTTTTATTTACAAATCCAACACACAATTATTAGTAACAGTAATATATAATTTCAAATTTATCAAAAAGTATACAGACAGATGGAAACGGTTTTAATTGCATGGACTAGCTCTTCAAAATTCAATACTGCGGAAGAAATATTTAAGTTCTTTAAGAAAAATAAATCATTTTGCATGTTGATATGTCACACATCTATCCCTAATTGTTAAGATACAAAACTATACATTTTTATATTTTTTTTTTTACTATTTGGTTAAATATCTAAGAAGAATGCAAAATTGAGATACAAAAAAAAATCTATACCCTAGTTAGAAAAAGAACACAAAATGCTTTAGGTAAATCACAGATTTTAGAAGTACTTTGCTCTTATTAAAATACTGATAAAGGCGCAAATGTACGCTAAAAATTTTATTTTAAGCTCTTCTATAATACAGTGACATTGTAAGATGAGCTGTAGAGTCAATAGTTAAAATATTCGACTCCAATTCTTCAAATTCTTCTCAAAGGAATAAAAATTAAAGCTTATAAATATTTGTATAAAGTATTGAAATGGTTCAAAAAGCATGTTAAGAAAGGACCATCATCTCTCACATTTGTAAACACTTTACTACAACGAGATTACTCAGTGAATATTCATGAACTATGAATATGAAACTATTGTAAATGATATTTTTATTAATTTAATTAAATGAAATATATTATAACATATTTTACTTATTAAAACATAACAATCATTTATTAGATCATTCATTGCCTTTTTTCACCAAAGCAGGCTTGCTGTTATTGGCAAGTCGCATTAGAAACAACAACAATTACAATCTAATTTGTTAGATTTCGATAGTGGTTTTCTTTTTTTTCTTCTTCCTGACTTAGATATTAATGTCCGACACCTACTGTATCTACTTTTAGTACCTCATTTTTAACAAGGAATCTATATTAATGGTGTAATACTATGTATACAAAATTTTTTTTTTGTACAAAACCTTTCTGGTTATGCTGCAAGGAGCGTGAAAATAAAGTTATAAACATGTAACAACTTATAAGCCCATATTATTATAATAGGGTATTTTTAAGTTAAAATATGCAACTCTGTAAAAATTTTTACTTTTTATTATTGTACATTAGATTTTTCTGACCAATACAGTAATAAAAATGTAAAATGTGTATAAAAAATCGTGAAAATCTCAGTGCTTAAAAATAAATCATACGAATTTTATAAACATAGCAATTAAAAGGCACTTGCTTACTTTATAAAAACTTTCAAACTCTATCATTAATATTTAAACTATCTAGTAGAACATATTTAGTAAAAAATAGAAAAGAAAATTTAAATTAATTATTATAGTAAGCAAAACCAATCTAGAAAATTAGAAGTTTTAAACTATTAATATCATAGAAAGTGTACCATGCGATAAAAAAGACAATAAACTTACAAATAAAAATCATCGGTTTTCATAGTTGTTACAAAAAACATGAAATATGAGTATAACAAGTATTGCTGTTCTTTAAACATACTATATGTGCCACAAACATAACTATATTGGTTATTATGAATGGATTATGAGTTATCAAAATAACCACAAACAAATAAAATAAGAAATACTATCTGCAGTAACCAACTGAAGTGAATGTATCACAAAAATGAAATCACCATAACAGAAACAGAGACTAGAAGGTATGATGACATATTATAGTAGAAACTATAAAAGAGATGGGGAACAAATTTATTAAATATTTCTCTTCATGTTTCTGTTCTTCTCGTAACAGAAAAGCTGAATTATCAGTGTCCCATTAATAAACTACTGAATTTAAAATCAGAAACTGATAGACAAATTTTCTTCAATCATTACATAACTTTTTAAAAATAAGGAAACAGTATAGAGTAGTAAAACTAAAAAAGTGTTTTTTGAATGCAAAGTAACAAGTTTTTGTTAAATGATATTAAGAAGTTTTTGAAATTTCTTTGCTATTAATCAATTTAAATTTCATAACATAATTCATTCATTTAAATTTCAAGACATAATTTAAAGATAAATATTTTAAAACTTTTTTAGATACTTTGAAATAGCAACATAACTTCAACAGTCCTTAGAAGATCGCCTTATTTTTATGCACCCACTCATAACAGATTCAAACAATACATCAAAATATGCCATGTTAGAATAAATAAGCATTACACAGCAAAAGATCATTTGACTATGCACAGCATACAAATTTCAGGTAGGAGAATCAAATCAACAACTGATAATCTTCCAAACACTATTTCACAGTCTCGTATCGTGACATTCACTGTTTACCCGCAGTTTGAGAGCATGGTTGGGGGGCTTATTTCTAAATGTCAGTTTGGAACTTTCCACCTCGACGACAGTGCGGAACTCTTCCACCTGGGAAACTTTTCCCGCTTCCGAATCAGCGAACCATATAAGATTGGACTGATGTTTGTCATCCCCATAGTGTTCGAACCACGTAGGAGTGCCACCCGTGAAGTGGCAATCTTTCAGATTATCATCCTGATAATCCTTAGAACTTGTCACATTATCATCCTGATAATCCGTAGAATTCTTCAGATTATCATCCTGGTAATCCTTAGAACTATCAGAGATCAGCTGATCAAAATGAACAGAATTAGAAGGTTGTCTGGTTTTGCTGGAATCCACTAAGTAGTCAGAAGTGGCAACATCTGTCGGGGCACTGTTGGTACGGTGGTTCGTCTCAAAGTACATTTGGCACTCGTTGTAGCTGTCACTACCAGAGCTGTCAAAAGACAAGCTGATATCTTCAAGCTCTATGGGGGAATCGATTCTCAAATCAGCAGAACTCAAGGATCCAGATTTGTTTTGAATCATCAAATCAGCAGAACTCAGGGATCCAGATTTGTTTTGTATCATCAAATCAGCAGAACTCAAGAATCCGGATTTGTTTTGTATCATCAAATCAGCAGAACTCAAGGATCCGGATTTGTTTTGTATCATCAAATCAGCAGAACTAAAGGATCCAGATTTGTTTGATATGTCTTCGTTGCTGACAGACTTTTCATAAAAATTTGGCATATCCATGGAGCCCCCCGAAAGACTGTAAGGTCGCTGCATGTCTTCCGAACTTACAGAATCTGATTTGGGAAAAGAATCGGGACGCTCTGGGGGTGGAACTGAAGGTCGGCCGACGGGCTTTCGAGATCGTTCCACGACGGGTGGAAGACTCTGCCGCACAGAGTGAGTCTGTCTAGGAGGTTTAGTCTTTTGCCTGAGCTCAGGATTTAGGTTGCTCTTAGGATCTGGAATCAGATGATGTTATAAGTAAAGATTATTACAAGAGTAAAGTTTACATTATAGGTATAAAAACATACAATACAAGAGAAAAAATACATGTTACCATTCATAGACTATGTTTTTACTGTAAAAACAAATACTTTTAAATTTTACAAAAACTGTAACGTCAATTGTACCAATCAACGGACATTATAAGCTAAAATTCTTACATTTTGCTTACATATGGGTTTTATGTTTATATTTATTTGGATGAATGTGCAGTTTGCTGTTACGAGGCTACACTGGGGTGTGAAATATTAAAAATTTTAAGGGCCAAAAATTCAAAGTTTTAGTTTTATGTGCGAATTTTTTCCCAGTGATTGATGTTCGTTAAATCAAAGCTAAAAAATCGTTAAATGAGAGCATTTTAGCACCCTTCTTGTCAGGACAGAAAAAATAGTCATTAAATCGGAGAGTAGGCAGGTCGCAAGACACAGAGTTTCTTTTACTCTCTTTTTTATCATTGATTAGCATTTTACCACCTGTTGCACACCCAATAATGAAATTCAAGGATTTTAAAGTTGTTTTACAATTTTAATGTTTCCAACAAATATAAACAGACCTGCTAATAAAAATTTCTGTTTCCAAATTAAAAAATTTTCCTTTTGTATTTTGATGTGATTCAGTCAATTATTAAGTAGCACTAAAATAAATAATTGTTATTAGAGATATACAAAGCTAAGTCAGATAAAAAATTAATTTTTTTAAGTTACCTTAAAATATTATGACTTTACAGGATGTTTAAATACTTATCTAGGTTTTGACAGTTGTACTTTATAGTTGAAAAAAAATTTTTTTTAACGAAAACATATATTTAAAACAAAACAAAAAAAGTTTAAATATGAAATAGTATTAAAGTGACACTTTAATACTATTAATACTAGCAACACTTTATGTGTTATGCATTATTATTTTTTGTAAATAAAAAGGGGCAGCCCAAGGACAATTAACCATTTGCATACCAATGTTCCAAAAATGGAACATAAACTTTAAACTTAATAAGCAGTTAAAGTCAGAATAACATTATTTTTCATACCTTTAAAACTAACATTATGAAGAATTTTTTGCATTTAGTTTGGTTTCATTTCCATAGTTATTTTATGAATTTTAGAAATTTGATATAATTTGTAAATATTTATCCTTTTTGCAATATACCAAAAATCCAATATTTATAATATACAACTACAATAGTTCTAAGCTTTTAAAGGGATAATATAACCCTCTGTTAGTCCTCAAATTCAAAATTTCATTTCAAAACTTTAAAGTCAAAATATAAGTTTAGAAAACAAATGTTCCATTTTTGGAACATTGGCATTTTTTATTTTTAGATTTTAAGTGATTTATTGCATTATGTTGAGTGCATTTCATTCAACTGGTATTATGACATTTATACAAGATAAACTATGATGTCTGTGAGGGGGAATTTTAGTTTAACTTTTTTTTTACATTAATTTGCAGGGGTAGATAATAGTGTAATAATGGCAGAATATTTAGTTGCTGATAATACTAGTGTAATAATGGCAGAATGCTTAGTAGCTGATAATTGTGTAATAATGGCAGAATATTTAGTTGCTGATAATTGTGCATACCCTCCAACTTTGCCTACCTGGCCATCNTAGCAACTACGGAAATTCCGTAGCAGTTGGAGGGTATGATTGTGTAATGATAGCAGAATACTTAGTTGCTGATAATAATGCATTTAGTTCAGGGAAAAGTTATTTTAAAACTTTAGAAAAAAAATTGATACGACAGCCAGTTGAGTAAATCATCTAATAAACCACATGTTAAAATAGTCACCTTTCACTGGATCGTTGAAAACGGAATCGTTTGGGAGTGTTCCGAGAAGATTTTCGTGGGACACACTGAGACTAGAGATTCTGTTATTTGAAGAGGCAATGTTAGACTGTGATGAAAAGCCACTGCAAGATAGAGAGCGGCTGATGGATTGAGGAGCTTTGGGGGCAGCTTTTTTCTTTGGCCTAATAGGAACTCTTGGACTAGGCGACTTTGGGCTACTGTTAAAAAGAAAATCATTTCATTATACAACTCCAATATGTTATGGTAATATAAGTTTTCAGCATACAACATCATACATAATCCAAAATTGTCTATAAAATTTAAATATGTTTTTGTCTATTCATCAGGTTTTAAAGCATCAGTATAAAGTACCAAGTAAAAAAAAAGGCATCAAAGTTTTAAAGTATTAAGATGAATCATAACAACCCTTCAGCAGGACAGTAAGCATTGCAGAGTTTCACAGCATCTGCAGATTAGATGTGCAGATTTTTCATCTAAAAGTTTAAAAAAAACTGCAAGTCAAACAGTGTCTACATATCCGTTTTCAATGCTGTTTTTTCCCCCACTTACAACAACGAGAAAAAAAGATCTCATGAGAAAATAAAGATTTTTCTATCGTTATTAGGGAGCAATAAGGACTCATTTCTCTCCCTTTCAAAATTTGACCAGGGTGCGTAGCCAGATTTTTCAATAAAAAATAAGCACCTTTTAAGTACTTTTCAAGCACTTAAAATATTTTTAATCACTTTCCAGAACAAAATCATATTTAGGATTTGTGCAGGAACATAAATTATTTTTTTCTATCCTTTCAAGTTCTTAATTTATAAACATAAAATCAATAAAATTCAAAAACATTTTCAAAAGCTAGACATAATCATAATAAAAGAACTAGTTTCTGATAAATTTGTAATTGATAATTTGTAATCTGATAATTTACATTTTCAAAAGCTAGCGAAGCGCTACCGCTCAGCCACTGGGCGTCAAAATATTTACTAGTATATTTTTCAAATTAATTAAAATTTTAAAACTTTCATTAAAACACAATTAGTCCTCGGAAAATTATGAAACTTTTTTTGTAATTAATAGTTCTTATGTTACATAAATAAATGATAATTGATTGATACTGTAAAAATTAATGCAATTGTTATTGATTAATTGTTATTGTTTTAAAAAATTAAGTACTTCTTTCGGAATTCCTATGCAATCCTTTTGGTGTATAATCGTGAACTAAATACCATAAAAAAATTTCATGATTTAAAGAGAGTGTTGACTATTTATGAAATAAAATACCTTTTATTATAATTAATACGTTATTTTTTATAACTATTGCAAGTTTTTGTTTGATATTCAAAACAGTTACATTTTATTAATCTTTTGTTCAACATTCCAATGCTGCAAAAAAATTGTTGTACAAATCTCAATGGAGAAAAATTTTAAATTTTAAAAACTGTTTTGAGAAACTGATCAAATTTAATAGTTGGAGAACTATTCCATTATTTGCCATCATGAAAATGTGCAAAGTTTGAGAATTACTCATAGATTCTAATGATTTCCATTTAATTGAAAAAAATCTTGCCACATTTAAATTTTTTCTAAATTCATCTTTTTTTAACTATTTAAATTATTTGTCTGTTTTTAAATTGAATTTACAGAAAAAAAATTAAAATTTTACTTCAAGCTGTAGTTTTTAAAAATTTTCCTGAAAAAAGAGCTTTAAGTAGACTAGGAAATATCGATAGAAAAGAGCCACTAAGTAACAAATGTTACGAGCTTGCAAAATAATGCATACATAATACACAAACATTGCAAAGATACTTAAAATTCTATATTCAACTCTGCAGCTAAAAGCAATGATTTATAATTTTTTATAATAATCATAATTTGATAATCACAATATCAATAACCTGTTAGTAGGGCTACTGGACATGGAATCGAGAGCAGAATCATTTCCGTTCAAAGCTGAAAAACTTATGGAGTTGACAGGGGGGAATCCATCGATGTGTCGAGGGGTGGTCGGCGTGCTCAAATAGAACTCACATTCTACAAAGAGAACAATGGCGATGACAGTACAGTACTCAACAAATATAAATTTTTTCAAGAAAAATCAAAACACTTTTACCTCCAGGGAAGAACCAATCAGCATAAGTTATGAGGGTGTCGACGATGGAACTGTGTAAATTAGTAGCAGCCATGTTCATGCTATTAAAGAAAAATATATGTCATATAAAAATTGGATTTCTGTTAAATTTGCTAAGAATTTAAGAATATATCAATGAAGGATCTGTACGTAACGAGAGAAAGAGATATTCAGTCAAATCTCAGTGACATTTCTCCTTTTTCTGAAGGTTGTTGTTAATAATTCGGAAAAAAAAAACATTTCAACTATTTCTAAATGGCATTGAAACATATTTTATAATGTTTATGTACTAAAATACCAACGTTGGAGAACTAAAATAATGGAGAATTAACTAGCAACATTTTTTAAGCTACATGTACAGTTTTGATACATCATGCTTATTCAAGAAGAGAAATTCGAAATTGGAAATAATATAAGCACTTACATTTATTGATATGCATATAAATCTTAATCTAAAAAAGATTTTTAAACCATTATTCATAATTACTTTAACTACAAACACTCAACATTTCCATAATTCTAAGTAATTGGCTTTTACAGAATTTTTACATATTCATATTTCGAACACAAGTAGCTGATTTGGCTTTGCATAGGAATTTTTTTTTTATCAAAGTTCTGTTTATAACAATTATCAGGGGAAATTAATATTCATTAAAAGCAAGCTTTTCACCAGAAAGTGATAAGCGAAATTCGGAGAGAATTTTTTTTAACTTTAGAGAAAATTATCTCGAGCTCTGCATTGCTAACCAAAATGCATAGGATGCCTAACATAACATCTGCTATATTTTGGAACTGTTTTTCTTTTATGCAGTTAATTTTTTAGTAAGAAAACTGACACCCACAATAAATGTTTCTGAAAAGAGAAATACATTTATGTTTTGACGATTGGTAAAAATACAATTCAAACAAAGTTATTGTCAGATTTCTGTAGGTAAATAACGAAGTTTGTTATTGGAGAAAAAACGATTGACTGAATAAACGACTCATAGCAGCATCTTCACTATATCTGATTTAGTCAGCACTGCAGTGTTGCCATCTGTTGAGGAATAAGAGAAGTATTTTTGCCATTAGCTAATATTTATTGACAAAAAATTGTTAGAAATTCAAGAATATACAGGGAAACGAAGATAGACGCAAAATATGGGAGTCTTCATTTAAAAAACAGGAGACTTGGCATGTATGTACAGGAGAAGGGATAGAAAAAAGAACTCCTCCTTATCTAACTTTTTTTATACGGCCTATTCTTCCACCACATTAGGCCTTATACTTTAGAGCCTACAATGACAGCTAAATGGAAATAATATTGGTTGAAGGATTTGTAACTTACCCTAAGACATTATCATTTGTGGGAGGCCAGAGCAGGTTGGGACCAATCACAATTGCAATATTCTGAATAGACATTTTATTCACATTTGAATTTTGGCAGAGCTTTGCCAAAAACTTAATGAGGTATCTGCAATAAACATAAAAAATAATGAATATTTTATTGACATTTTCCCCTAATTACTCAAAATTTGAAACAAATAACTTAAATGCTCATTTTTTAATTTTCGAAACAACTATCCTTATTGTACAAGATTTGAATTCATTTACTAAAAATAATAAGTATATGATCCCATTTTACCCTTCTAAAATTTCATAATACTAAAATTGAATTAAATAAATAATTTTTCTTCACCCAAGAGTCTTAAAAATTCTGAAACAGTAAATCGGATTATATAGTTAACCCACTTCAAATATTTTTACCCAATTTGTGGATGGTACCCAAGGTAAAGATATCAATTTTTTGCAATTTCAGAAATGTGAATCAAGGTTTTTTAGTTTTTTTTTGTTGGAAATCAGATGAAAAAAGCAGACTTCCGTGGATTTGCCAGAAAGTAGCACACCTGCTAAATAAGGGGGGGGGGGAAGAAATAGGAAAAATAAATAAATAATATCACCTGAGATTGTTGAGATGAGTATCAGGTAATGAATTCACAACATTCCACAAAGCTTTGAGCCTTGAATCATGGTCAGGATCCCTAAGAAATACATCCACTCATTAATCATACAATGTCTATATTATCAATGGAATTTAGATATACAAAAGTTGAAGGATTCCAAGCATTTAAACATTTTAATTATAAAAGTTCAGTGTTAAGTGAATATCTCTATTATGATAAAATTTCTTGAAATATTAATCGATAATAACATAATTAGTAATTAAATTAATTAGTATGCACCATAAATTTAATAATTAGTATGCAGCACAAAAGAGTTTAAACACTATATGTGCTTACATCAGGGGTCTGTTTAGAAGAAATTTGGGTCCGTTAATGCAGTGTTCCCCAACCCCCGGTCCACGGAGGTTGGAGGTTAATGTGTTCCATTAAAATTTTATTAATTTAAAAAAAGTGGAATAATTCTTAATTTCATAAATTTCTCAATAAATTAATTCATAAATTTCTTAATATTTGTAATGTATCATTGTCTCCGATTACCCCCAGATGAAACCGTCTCATTGCGAAGAAACGAGCTCAGGGTTAACATTGATTTAACGTTCCAGTAAGTTAAAATGTTAAATCACTTTATACTTATTTTTTGGTATATCAGTATTTTATTTTGAAGGCATGTTTAAATACAATTAAATTGATTTAATAATACAAAATAATCTAAAATATAAACAATCAACGCCCCCCCCCCCATCGGGCCGCAGTTAAATTATCAAACGATTATAGGTCCGCGGTGATAAAAAGGTTGGGGAACACTGCGTTAATGGACCCTTCACAAAATAATTTATCTTTTAATCAGATCCTTCACAAATTTGTTTATCTTCATTATTGTTTTGTTAATCGAATAAACTCTTTCCAGGAAGGGGGGGGGAGAAAGACAAATGTAAACGAACTAAGTTTTGTCTTCGGCATACGCTTCTTAGTTTATTCGTCCGAAATGAATATTCTGCGTTCAGCAGTATAGGCTAAATACCAAATATTTATATGTTGCATGGCTGTTTATTTTTTAAAGTGTCAGCAATTGCTGTTTATTTTTTAAAATTTAATTTTTGTAATTATAATTTTACAGTTTTAAGCATAATCTTGTATGTCTTTACAATTTAAAAATTCCTTGAAAAAGTTTTTTTGCAATAACGGACCCTATTTGCACAAATTCACAGAAGCGGACCCTGGTTGAAAGATTGTGACTTAACATTTATTTTATATTCACAAATTACGAGTAATTTTTTCACAATTTTACAAAAACGGTCCTTTCACAAAATGTCTGGACAGACCCCTGTATATAAAGTTTTGCTACTTCATACAGTTGTAGGTTCGAAACAACAATTACTTCAACTATATAATATTTTTAAATCTAAATAAGAGAAATGATTTTTTCAAAATAGAAAACCATACAGTATTTTAAACTAGGATTCTTATTCTGAATTTTATGATGAAAAGTGTAAAAAAAAAATTTCTTTAAGATAAAACAATAATTGTATAAATAATAATTACAAAATGATAATTGTGGAAAATAAAAAAATTCAAGGTACAAATATAAATTAACCTCATAGGAATAGTTTTTCATAAAATATAGGATTTCATCGCTAGAGATATTAAAAAAATTGCAGTTTGCTAAAATAACTAAATTTGGTTTAAAAAATATTTTTTTATTTTTGCTGACACTTCAAAATTCTCAAACATATTACATAAAATATGTATATAGTTTGTCTAAAGTAAGAACTCCCCTAGCAATTTGTCTGGATTCCTGGTGATGACTATAGTAACGAGGTATAACTATTTCACGTAGGGGTGTGGGGTTATTGTTTAGGACAGGCTTTGGCTCAAGTCGATGAAAGAAAGGAAATCTTTTTCTTGGGTATACTGTGTTAGCCCTAGAGTGAAGAGAAGCTACCCTCTCTGAAAGGCGCTATTCTTGTTTCCATAGCAACAGACTGTCTTAGACTTTGTCGCGGGGTAATTCTTACCGTAGACAAACTATAGAAGTCACAGTACCATGAAAACAAAATTTTTTTAGCAGCAACCAAACTGAAGAATTAAATTATTGTAAACTGCAGTATTACAAATATCAAAATGTTCATCCTTCATGCACATTTTTAGAATCCTAGTCAAAAAGTAATTCACTTTAAGGATTCATAAATTGAGATCCAAATGATAAAGAATATGACTAATCAGCATTGAGTTAAACAAAAACAAAGGACGGTTTAAAAACATCTATTATTTGAGGTGGGTGCAATCAACCAAAGCATTCCTGTTTTATTAAACAGGATTTTGACGATATTAAACCCTCCTCACAACTCAATAGTTAGTTGTGAGAATTTAAAGACTTTTTTCCACTTAAATATTAATTAGCCATTCCTAGCGAGCACAATTTTTTTAAAATTAAACTTTTACAAGAATTTTAGAAAGCAATTATTACACAACAACTTAAAGTTTAAATAAATAAAATGAACTTACACGGCAGCCTCCATCCACTGATCGTAGAGCTCATAAGTGAGAAGAGGTTCAGGAAGTGATCTTAGATATAACTTCAGAACGCCTGTAACATAAACAGAAGCAGCACTTCATAAATGCAAATCTAGACAAGACAGCTCTATACTATTCTCAGTAATAAATAGAGTTGGCAAAATTTAATCCACTACAAAGTGGGCCATCATCCAAGGTTTCAGGGCCAAAATTAGTATTTCAATAAAATTTGTTTCAAAATTTGGAGTTTTTTATGTGCAGGTAAATTGAATTCATAGTTAATATTTTGAAATATGCTAAACATACCCACCCCCCCAAAAAAATGGCGGCTGAAATATGGCGAGCAAAAATAAGAAAGATAATATAGTATGTTTAAATAATTAAATACAGCAATGAAAATATAATAATTTTTGTAATTTTATATTAAAAATGAAAAGCAAATTATATTTCTGAAGTAATATTACAAAATAACGCGTAAACATGAAGAAAAAAACATAGCTTTTGTTTTTCGGTATATTTAGTCCAACTTTGCAAGACGGGCAAAATGGGGCAGGTTTTTTCGAAAGAAGAAACATCAAACAAGACAACAAAAAGAACTTTTTGGAACTAAGTTTTGAAAGTCATTCAAACATTATAAAATGTCAAATGATAAAATAGAAACTATAAGTTTGTCAAGAGTATTAACTAATCCAACAAATTGAAAAATTGTACTATAATTTCAGACTAATTACTCTGATAAAAATGCAACAGTAAGGTGAAATTCCTATATATATTTCTGAAATAAAAAATTAAAAGTTACATTAAAAAAAATTTTTAAACACATTTTTCATTACATGGTACTCTTGTTGGTTCAGGAAGTAAATTATAATATTTGCAATGATTATGAATACTTAATTTGGGCTATATTAAAACTGCCTACACATATTTTAGTTGAAAATTTAATATTTGACTTTTGGCCAAAGATCATGGTCTTCTGGCCCACAGTGCACTACTTCAAAAACTTTAATTGATTTAAATAATTTTTTTTATTGAAAGAATTATTGATTAAGGATAAAAATATATATTTTTTGATTTAGGATAATTTGTAATGTACATTCGGAAGCTTACATTTTTGGTAATACAATTTGGTAATACTAATTGTATACAGAAATCTAAATTATCATTTAATGTTCAAAACAGACTAAAAAATAAGACTAAATGTGAAACTTTCCATTTGTTTTGTGTAAAATAATATGCTATTAATAAACGCGTTGTCTAGGTCGATCCCCTATTTTTGGCAATCCACTTGCAAATTTTAGATGTGTCAGGTGTAGAAGTCATACTTTGAAAATATCAAATAATATTACAGAATTTTTAAAATTAAACAACGTAAAAAAAATTATAAAGCCTAAGAGATTTTATCGAATTAAAAATGTTTCACATTGTTCTCTTGGGATAAGACAGATTTGTCCACAAATAATGTTATAGTAAAATCTTTCAAAAATATGAAATTTCAAATTATTTGAGATGAGGACAATTTTTTGTGTAACTCGACAGTTTAAATTTTCAGATTTAAAAGTTTTTATTTGTAATACTCCAGAATATATAAACTTTTTTTAATTCTTAATTTTATTTCTAAACATAATTTATTATTTTCTTAAAAAAAAAAAAAAAAAAAAAAAAAAAAAAAAAAAAAAAAAANAAGCTGAAATATGCATAACATATTTCCTAACATTTAAAAACCAAATTATTATCTTATTTAATACTTTTTCGATAAATAAAAATCATTAATATAATCTGTAATCTTTTTATACCGCAACCTTGAACTGAGTGCGGAAGAAAATCTATTCTAATTAATTCCCTCTACATCTGTCTACACGTTAGCGTAGAATTCGAAAACCGTTATATGGTTGCCAATGTTTTGATTTAATTAAAATTTGCTATTATTTCTTACACTTTCCTCTCCGCCAACTCATTTGAATGCATAAGGCTAAGAAAAAGAGCGTTTGCTTTAAATTTAATCATGGATTCCTTAACTTTCCTTGGTGTAAACTATGCCAACATACACATGCTACTGGCATTTTTGAATTCTTGCTAAAAAATTTTGACTATTATTAAATAAGATAATAAAAAAAATATTTATTAAAAGTTATTTTTTGCATGGTATTATTTTTGATAAAAAGGAAATTCATACTTGTGAGCAAAAAATTGAAACGTGGTAAAATACACAAAAAGTTAAGTTAACATTAAGCGGTTCTACTTTCGGTCACTCTCCTAACTTAACTTTTAGGACCGTATTTTTCAGATTGTGGCTGTTTCCCATATTTATTCCTATATTTCTGAAATCCGAACCCATAAAAAAAGTATGTTTATTCAGAGAAAGTTTGCTTTTGTGTTCCATTTCCTTAACTAAAAATGTCATATGCGCTAATTATTAGCATATTTGAGGTCACCCCCTCGAGTCATTAAGATTTAGTCCTAGAACATGAAGATCCGATCATTAGATCAAAAATTCTTCAGTGTGATACGTTTTTGTGTTTGAGCACTGTACCTGAAAACTTTATTCAAAATTTTATGCATAATACAAAAAAAAAATTCTTCAGCATCATACTTCAGGAATAAACAAATCTCAAATTTCTTTTTAAAAAATTTAGGTTGTGCTTGATCAATAAAAAAAAACTTCTACTTGATTTATGATTAAAATTAAGCTTTATTAGTAAAAAATATTTACCAGCAACATTATGAGGGTCTCGTTCATCTTCAATTAAATGTTGAAAACTCGAATCAAAAGCACTCTGAAAAAGACGTGTGGAAAAAAAAACTATGACATATCATCGTAGAACATTGCATATGAACATTAGCATTTGAAATTAATTTAAAAAAACTGAACTAAAAATAGCAATTAACCATGAGACCATTATCCTGAGAGTCAGGAAGGAAAAATTCCCAGCATCTAACTTTTATTGACATTTTATTTCTTTAAAGCTATCTAATGGGATATTCTTTGTAAAGCAAAATTGTGAGTAGACAGCGCCCAGCTTTTGATGTGTCCAATATTAACTGTTATAACTTTCTTATTAAATTCTTTGGTTGCTTTTTTTTCTTACACTTGGGTCTATTTCCCATTGGTCTCAGAAATGCAAGAATTACTTTTCCAGGATGCACAGCCAAATCTTTGAAGAAAAAATAAGCACCTTTTAAGTAATTTTTAAGAACTAAAAATATTTTCAAGCCCTATATACATACATAAAATGCAAAATAAGTTTCAAAGACTTTACATAATCATGATGAAATAACTAGTTTCTGATAAAGGACTCTTTTTCTTGATTATATTAGCCACCATAAAAACATTTTTGAAAAACAAGAGATATTTTGGTTTGATTTCAGAGGGTGGAAAATGAAGCCTGAACATGAGAATATCTTGCAAAATGCAGCAATGTTGAACATGAGAGGGCAAGAATCTCACCAAACCCAGCTCAGTGTGAGCACATGCGGACCCTCAAGTATTTTAGCAAACATGTAAAATGATTGGTGCTTTCATAGGCTATGGACCAAAAACATGCCAAAATAGATTGTGGTTGAATGAATTGGGAAAATGTTGAATAGAACAATGTGAAAAGCATGCTTTTGCATAATACGTGGTGCGAACTCGAGCACTTTACAGTAGAACAGTTTAACGGGGACCTATACTGCACACCCTCGGTCCCTACACAACCGTGTCTTTACGATCAGTTCATTCAGAGACACTTAAATGTTTAAAAATGTCTACTTTTTAGAAACAAGAGTAGTAAAGAATTTCGCTTCATTTTTAAAAATATCTTAAACTTATTGGATTAATAAAAGAAATACACTTTAATTCAAAAACAAATTTTCTAATTCATGTATAAGATAAAGCTTAAATATTTATACATTTTAACAGTCTGTAACAAAATATTTAAAAAAAATACTAAACTTGTTCATTTTCAACTTAAGGTTGATAACTTATTATTCAGTTATTATTGTAAATTATTTATAAATTGCAACTAAAAGTTAACTTTCAGTCATTTTAATTGCATTCAAACCAAGTAGAATCTAATACAAACTAACTTTATCATATAAAACTGTTTATTAAATCATATTTTTAAATACAAACTAAAACTTAGTTTGATGTCAGGTTTTAAAATGATTGGTAACAAAAATTATATTTTGAGTATTAAAAAAATTGTTTTAACTAATTAGGTGCTAAATATATACATTATATAAGATATTTAGAACAAAAGCTGTGATGATAATGATATTCAATCATTACTGCAAATTATTTATAAATTACTACTAAAAGTTAACTTTCAGTTAATTTAATTGCATTCAAACCAAGCAGAGTCTAATACAAAATAACTTTATCATATAAAACTGTTTAGTAAACCATGCTTTGAAATGCAACATAAAACTTAGTTTGATGTCAGATTTTAAAATGATTGGTAATAAAAATTATATTTTGAGTATTAAAAAAATTAGGTGTTTAGGTGTTAAACATATACATTATATAAGATATTCAGAACAAAAGCTGTGATGATAATGATATTCAATTATTATTGTAAATTATTTATAAATTACTACTAAAAGTTAACTTTCAGTCAATTTAATTGCATTCAAACAAGCAGAGTCTAATACAAAATAACTTTATCATATAAAACTGTTTAGTATACCATGTTTTGAAATGCAACATAGAACTTAGTTTGATGTTAGGTTTTAAAATGATTAGTAATAAAAATTATATTTTGAGTATAAAAAAATTAGGTGTTTAGGTGTTAAACATATACATTATATAAGATATTCAGAACAAAAGCTGTGATGAAAATAAATCTGTTATTGAGATCTGTTTTTGACACAGCCATAGTTACAACAAATACTTGAAGATATGTACAAATGTTTTACATTTTGAATTGAAACTTAATTGTATGAAATAAATCTTAAAATAAACAGTTCAAAAATTGAATTGTTTTGTAGCATAAAAAATGCAACCAGTATATGAGAAATTGCGACAATATTTAATTTAATAACCATTAGATTTATGTTACACACACAAATTATTGACAGTTTAATGCCTCATGCAAATTAATTAAAAGTTTAAACACTTTTTTAGCGAACATAATACTTTATTTGCAGTTGTACAACAAGTGGACAAGTAACCTGGTCCATTTGTTGTATCATTAAAAAAATAATATTCATGACATGCAGACTTGTTTTAATATAAAAGAATGAAACAAAGTAAACCTTTTATATTCAATTGAATAAAATTAATGAAATTATTTAAAATAATGAAACCAAGACTTACTTTTATTTTTTTAATTTTAATCATGCTTCCACCGATTCTAAAGAGTCCCTAAAAAATAATTATAATTCCACATTTTTATTTATTGATTAAAAATAAGCATTTCTTTATTAACAGTTATTACAATAATTGAAAAACAAATGTATTATTACAAAACAACAGCAAATACACAAAATATTTTAATTCGTAGAACAAAATATTTCGAAAATATTGCTAAGTTATTAAAAAAAAACCATAGGAACAGCCTTAATAATCCTGAATATTGAAAACCTGAATAGTATTTATGTTCAATACATTAGTGCTCTTATTAGAGATGTTTCTAAAAATTTATTTTAAGTACATTTAAAGTCAGTTTTATAACTTTAAATATCATCTGTACTAACTAAAATAAGCACATTTGAGGTCACCATCTCAAACTAATAGGATTGAAACTTACTATGCGTAAAATCCCATCAAAGGTTATTCAGAGTGTTTACTTTTTTATTTTGTGTATAGTACATAGATTTGTTGGGCAGCTCCACAGAGCAGGACACATCGACCAGAGGTCTATTGTACCCTAACCCTAAATCATGATTAGCATGAAAGCTTTATAGCTGAAGTAAAGTTCAGCAAACACATGATAGGAATATCTTGCAGTTCCCAGGTCTGCAAGATATGCAATGTTGTTCTAAATGCTCAAATCTTTAAGCAGAAAAGACCTCACAATCACATAGTATATGATGTGAAGTCTTCTCGTCAAGATGACAAAGTCAACAAAGAGGATCAGATACAAGACCCATTATGTGTAGGTCTCTCCTGATACTGGGTGCAGTGTCCGATACAACCGGGTGCGGGTCCAGCGAGAAGACCAATGATCTTCCACAAACTCTTACTGTTCTGCATAAGCAGCTCTTTTTGACGCACACTAGAACAGTCATGATTCAGCTCTTTAGCCTATCTCTGACAACCCGAGTTGTATTGCATACCTGCCAACATTGGAGAAATAAAATAACGGAGATCTTACTAACCGATCCAATTTTGGGTTTACCACCACTGGTGTTCAACTCCGTCACCTTGTAATTTTGAATCCAATCCAGAAGACAAGGATATTCCTGGATCAAGTATTGGGAGAAATTTGCCTTTATGGAAAACTTTTTATGAAGCTAACCCGTAATTTGCGCTACATGGAGAGGAAGACCACGAAAACCTTTCACCGTTAACCTGACGACAAGGGGACTCTAACTCATGATCTATCCGCCACTGAGGATATTTTACATCAGCACTGTGGTCGGTGCAAGCCGGATGCACAATGCGTATTGACCAGTTATTGCTAGGATTCGAACCTGGGTTCACCTTATTGGAAGGCGAACACTCTATCCTCTGAGCCATTGCGGCTCGACTTAAGCAATTAACACTCAACACACTGTAGTACTGGCATTAGCACCATCTGCTGAGGAATAAGATAAGTATTTTTGACATAGGTAGATATTTTATCACAAATTTTTTTCAAAAAATGTCTTCAACAAATACGGAGAAATTTGAAAATATACAGGTGAACAGAAGATGGTCGTAAAATAAAGGAGTCTTCATTAAAAAACAGGACACTAGTCAGGTATGGTATTGTACATAGAAATAGTAAATGAGGTTATAAATAAAAAAAAAGGAATTAATAGAGTAAATAAGAAAAAACCTCTTCCTCCATAGCTGATTCCAGAAGCCAACAGACACTTGTTTCAATGACAACAGCAATCTCCCTCTTCGTCACTCGGAGGTGATCCTCCAGGGATACACCAAATACTGGTTGGTAAGGCCAGCTCTCTATGAACAAAAATATTCATTCAGCACAACTGTTTGAATAGAATTTTTCAATCTGTTTTATTAAAAAGGATTTGATTTTTGAAGTAGAATTTCAAAAAGAAAGATTGATTTAATATAAAAGCGATTTGTGTTAAAATATGCATAAATTAAATAATGCTAACCAAAAAGTTATAAATACTAAAAATTAAAAAAAAAATTTGTGTTGTTAAAAATTTTACTTATCGAAATACAAACTCAATTCTTTAGTCACTGACATGGAGTAAGACATCCAAAGGTGACTTTCAGGTTTAATGTGTATGAAAATAAATTTCATATTCTTACAATAGGAAAAATAAAAATACATAAAGTACAATGCAAAGAAAAACACACCAAATATAATAAAAATCAAAAGGCATGTTAATAAGTAAAACAAGCTCATAACCTGTTGCAAGTTTTTCTTCTTCTTTGCATCATAGAAAAATCACTTTAGCATGTATGTAGATACATATCTACAGATAAATTTGTCAGACATATTGTAGAACAATAGAAATTAAGAGAAAAGAATGATAATGCAAAGTTTTAGTTATTTATTTTTAAGACCCGGACTGGCCTCCTATTTGTAGGCATGAGAGAATACATGTCTGAGCTTGGCTAGATATCTAGAAAAAGTTTCAGTTATGAGTTTTTCATTTATTTTCATATAACTTTTAAGTTTATTAAATATTAATTTAGTTTAGAATTAAAAAAATGGAAAAAATATTTGATCTCATTATTTAAAAATCTCTAATTATTCATCTTATTTTATTTTTCTCTTCGTGAATTTCAGCTTTCCTCTAACATGTGAATATCTTGGGCTCAAACATTTCTTATGGATCTTAAGTAGGCAGATACTTGTTCTTAAGGCTACAAAAACAAAGTAACCAAAGTATTGTCTGTAACACTGAATAAAACATTAAAATCAAATAACAGTAGTTAAAACTTTCTTCTCACAAAGTTTTACAAGGATACAAAATTAAATAACTAATTAGCTAGAAAAAAAGCATTCCCACAACAGCGCATAGTGAGCCAAGGTGGTGGTACATGTAGGTTAGAGCTGAGTAATTTTGCATATATGATCATTACATATACAGTGAAACCTGTTTTTGTGCGGTCCTTTTTTATGCGATTTTGTTTTTGTGCGATTGGTTTTGCGTGATTTTATTTTTGTGCGATTTATTTTTATGCGGTATATGAATCTTAGCGGCGTTAGCACCAGTTTCATGTATCCTATCAATGTGCATATACATGTTGTGGATGAACTCTAATTGCGTGGTCTCCTTGACAATGATGTATTTGGACTTCGCGATGCTCTGTTTATTTATTTTCATTAGTTCATTTATTATCAACTCCATTTTCTCTTCTGTTTAAAATTTATTCTACGCTACACAAGTTGAAGTAAGTCAGTAAAAAATCGTCTACTGTGCTAAAATACTTTGTATTTTAAAATTAAACCATTATTTTTATTTTGTAAATTTGCGTCTGCGCATATCTCAAATACTATACGCTTCGTATTTAGAGTTTTACACACGATTCACGTGATTAAGGATTCATTTTATAGTGTGATTAAAGGTAAATAAATTAATTACTTTTGTTTCTATTTATATGCAGTTTTCATGATTTTTATATAATTTTTTAATCATTAGTATTCCCTTAAATGGACAAGAGTACCGGAATCTATTACAGCAGATAAAATATATGCAGAGATTCATATTTCCAAAAAATTGGAAACGCATTTTCGTAAAATAGATACCAATGCGGAAAGACGCTTAAAATTCCAAAAAGAGCTGAGATCATGCATGCCTCACTATCGTGACGTTTACAAGCAATTGACCAGTCGACTGTCGTCACAAAAACTGATCACTGACATTACGGTACCAAAAAACAAGTCAATTGAAATCTTATCTTCAAGCGACGAAAGCGATTTTCAACCAATTCATCACAAGAAGATGCGCGTTTTGGATTATGACGAATAGCAGCAAACTATTTAATGCATAATTTGAAAACTTCTCCATGTAAATGTACAATGAAGAATTAAATATTTTCAAAATTTCTTTTGGTCTAATTTAATTATTTAATTTAATTGAAAGCATTCTCTCATCTATTTCATGAATCATTGATGTATTTTCGGAGTCCGACTTTTTTTATGCGGTCCTTATCCATCGCATAAAAAAAAATTTAGGTTGTATATCGTACAAAGTTGTTATTATATGTAAGAATTCATAAAATTTTCGAATATTTTTTTTTTTGTAGAATTTCTTTTATGCGGTCCCTATCCACCGCACAAAAAAAGGTTTTACTGTATGTGTGATATGATTGTTGCAATGTGCATAGGCTGTCTCTACATCCTAGACAAGCTGGTACCCATTGATCCACCACTAGATATTGAACCCCAGTTAGTTCAGTGATTTAACCACTGAGCCACCGTGACTCTAATAATTATTTTACTATTCACATAATAAGTGAATGAACTGACTGATTTGAGCTTCCATTTCAGGCAATGCAGATTCCAGCATGTAGAAAGCCTTCCGGTGATAATCCAACTGCGACTGGCACAGCTTAACAAACAGTTGAGACATTTCAGGCTCTCTGCTGATGAGGTTATACATCTCGGAAGTCAAAGAATCCTGGAAAGAAAGGTTTTAACACACATGTCTCTAAATTCATAAAAATGTATTAAAATTATGAGCATATTTTTTTTAAAAAATAACATAAAGATGGAGAGCACATGTAGGCAAATAACACACATTAGAGCATATTAAATTTAATACACTTATTACTTTTTAAATAACATTACTTTCAAAATCATAATTGTCACATACTGTATTTAGTTAAATGGAAAAGGGGAGTTTGGCCAAACCTGTCTAAAATAAGATGCCTATGTCTTGCTTGTTAGTTTGAGATGAAAGATATTCAGGGTTTGCTACTCTAATCCAGAAAAAAAATATTTTCTGTGTTTTCTCTGTACATATTATACATAGTATATCAAGAGGAAACACACTATCACTGTGCTTTTGTGTGTGAGATAAATTGTTCTAACTATACCAAATTTAATTACTGGAGAAACTTAGAGAAAAAAGATATAGCTGAACGTATTTAAAACAAATAATTACATAGTAAATGTAATAGTTTAGTATAGCTGAAATATCTTCCTTAAGTATCCCATAGATTGCACTTTAAGTGGTCACCATTTTTTAGAAGACAAAAATAAAAAACAAAATTCACTGTATTTTCCCAGTTTTGCAAAGAAAAATTTTAAATCCATGCATTATCCCTGTTATTTTAGGTGATTTTTAAATTCCCTGTATTTTCCAGGTTTTCCCTGTGGAGTGGTAGCCCTGTTCAACCTAGGAAGGGTTTTTATATCTTTTTGAACATTGTTTTTAAATATGCATTAATAGATCTCAGCAATGTGATATGGATATCAGTTTTCTAAGCCAAGAACCACACCATCACTTTTTCAAAGCCAATTAAATCAATATTGTTACATTTTTGTGGGACAGTCTTTTAAAATAATGCACATTTAATACTAACTCTATTTATAGATTAGATTCAATAATTCTTTTAAAATTACATGTGTTACAATAACTAATAAATAGTTAGATAAACAGCTGAAGCATTGAATTTCTGAACCTCTGAGCAACTGAACTTCGTTTAGTTTGTATCACAACACTGCATTTACAAAATATTTCAGCGTCGATTCCTGTCAACTTTTAAAGTGGCAAATTTAAACTGAGTTAATATCTGTAAGAAAACAGTTTTGCCTATTTATATCTAGGATATTGTTTAGTTATTCAATAGAAAATCTTTGGATTTTTGATTAAAAAAATTTTTTGGCAACAAATAAGTTTCGTTTTATTTCAGTTCCGTTCATCCTTCACTTATTTATTCATCCTTTTATTTGTGATAAAAAATTGCAAATTCATTGCCGACCTACTAGTTATTATAAATATTATCTGCATGACCACACTTTTAGCTGCTCTAAACAGTTATGACCATACTTTCGAGATTGCTGTTATCTCCCTGAGGGTTCAAGAATCAGAAACAAAAAGCATGTTTTTGTGTCAGATTTCATAACTTAAAATACTGTCTGCACTAATTAAATTAAAATATTTTAAGGTAAGGCCTTCAAACAAATAAGATTTAATCTTAGTGTGAAAAAATAAAATAATTGGATCAAAAGGTTTACAACAGGTTCTGTTTTTTTTTTTAATATTTTGTGCATACACATTTCAAATGCAAGAAACTCAACAGTTGAAGGTTTCTTAAATTCGATAGTAGCTTCATTGAAAATATTAAAATGGTTTTACCAAAAGCATAATCTGAAGAATATATGCTGAATAAAATTTATGAATTAAGCAATCACAACTTTGTAAATTCTGGGTTGAAGGAAGAATTTCTTTTTTTAATAGCAATACATAAAAAACCTTCTTTGACATCTTGACAGAATAGTGACTAAATAATAACTTCTTAAAAACAATTTTGACGCCCGGTGGCTGAGCGGTAGCGCTTCGCGCTGTCGTGCCACAGGTCCTTGGTTCGATCCTTGGGCCGGGCAAGGCCGACTCAGCCTTTCATCCCTTCAGTGGGTCGATAAAATGAGTACCAAGCATGCTTGGGAACTAACACTGGGGGTTCCGCGTTCGGCTGACCACCTGACCGGAACATATGCTCCTGCACCCCAGAGCCCAAGGTCAAGAAAACTGAGATGGGCACAGTTGGCCTTGGCCCTCTTAATGGGCTGTCACGCCACTGAGTTAGTTAGTTTTAAAAACCATTTTACTTTGATGCATGTTTAATAAGAATGTTAAACAATGATACATAATTTTATTCAATCAGTTCATAACTTCTTTAGAGAGAAGGATTTTTAACTTTTGTAGTGTATCTACCACTACAAAAGTGTTATTCCAATTCACTAGTATATAAGACATGTTAACTCAATTCTATGGCAGGGTACCTTTTCATAGATGAAGGTTGACATTGTCGATGTGACTCTCCCCACAATATTCAACCCACAATATTCTCCCCACAAATTTTTTTTGTCAATATTCATTGTGTTTAAGTAAAGTTTTACTGTTATTTGATAAAATAATATTTAAAATTTCTAAATATTTTAATTCCAACAATTAAATACAAAAGCTGGCAGTTAGTTACTCGGAAGTTGGCAAATCCGTTTACAAACAACACACCAATTTAATCAGTGAAACAAAGATATTGAAATAAATATGTTTATTATTGCTTTAATCTATTTCGGCCAAAGGTGCGTACACGCACCATTTCAATAAAAAAACCTATATTTTTCACTAATTTTATTTTCTTGCTATTGTCAAGGATTCTTAAGATACCCAAAATTTAATAGTAATTCAATTGGAGTAAACACTTTCTGTTGAGAAATTTTTTAACTATTAAAGTATTTTAATTTAAAATGGTTATTGAGAAATTAAATTTTTTTTAAAAGTTTATAATTATTCCTTTTGAGATTTGTCATTATGTTTCTATGAGGGATTAAAGTTGCAAGCAGGCTTCTAAAGCTTGGGCAATGACAAAACAGGAGGAAAATTGCAACGGAATAATTGAGAGAAAGATTTTGCAGAGTATACAAGGTAAATGAAAACAATAACTGGAGAAGGAGATTTAACTTTGAACCGAACAAGATTTATAAGCAACCTGATATTATTAAATACATAAAAATAAATAGAATGAATTGGATAACCCCTATGTGATTCGAATGAATGATGACAATATAAAAAAGATACTGCTTTTTAGACCCACTGGAACAAGAAAGAGGGAAAGGTCACGGTTGAGATGGGCTGACTCAGGAGTCTGATTTTCTTGAAATTAATGAAAATAATTGGAGATCAAAGATAAATCGAAACTCGTTATGGAGAAATCTTCAGAGTAGGCATTGGTTCATATTGGGCTGTCTGGCTAACTATGATGATGATGAGGATGAAAGTTGCAAACCAGTAAATAAAAAAACAAATTTCATAAAAAAAAAGCGCTCAACTAAATGGTTTGTTCATAGATTTGGTGAATGTTGCCTATACGCACCATTTTATTTATTAAATAAAATATAATTTTTTATCCACACAATTTTTTTGTGTCTTAATGAATGTGATCAAAGCATTTTTAATGAAAACAATACCCCATTTAATAAAATTTATATGCTTGGCTCTTAAAGTGGGTTAAATTAAAAACTCTAGTAAATACATTGCAGAAAAAACAGTTTTGGTAAATAAAAACTAGCTTATACAAGAAACAAATATATAAGAAAAATTAATTGTTACTCGACACTGGTCTACTCTATTGACTATATCTTCTGCTTCTTCTTTCAAAAGTTGAGCTTTGGTTAGAGCATTGGCGACATTGGCATTAGTTGCTTGCTGACTACTTCTCCATGCATTCTGATACCTACAAAATGTAGGAGAATTGTAGGACAAAATGTACAACAAATGAAACTTTTTCAAAGGAGGGCTACATCAATTAATAATAACATAATTATTGTTAAGTATAAAATGAGTAACATCAATTTGTCTTAAAATTCTAAAACAAAATACTACAAATGACATGTAATAGGGCTGGGATAGCCTGGTTGGTAGGGCCTGGGCCCATGTTTTAGTGTTCGTGGGTTCGATAGGAGGGCGGCCAAAGACTCCCTGTATAGTAAATGGTGACTGATCCACGTTAAATCTGTCGAGTCACAAAATCCTCAATTTTCCCATAACAAATCATTACCTCTGGGGGTACTGATCCAGGATTGGTTCAAAACTACAAGGCTACAGTGTTGAACATTAGTAGTCATACACCCAAAACATTGGGTAGGCTGTTCAACGAAGGTTATAAAATAAAATGACATGGAATGAGCCGTGATAGCTCAGGGGATAGAGCGTTCGCCTTCCAATCAGGTGAACTGGGCTCAAATCTCAGCAATGGCTGGTGGACATGAATTCTGCATCTGGTTTGCACGGTCCGTAGTGCTGACGTAAAATAACCTAAGTGGTAGACAGATCATGGATTAGAGTCTCCTTGCCATCAGGCTAACTGTGACATATCTTCGTGGTTTCCCTCACCATGTAAAGCAAATTCGGGTCAGTTCCATCAAAAAGTGCTTCATGACGGCAAATTTCTCCCAATATTTGATCCAGGAGTTCCCTTGTCTTCCGTATTGCATTCAGCATTACAAGGCTACCGAGTTGAACATTAGTACAGTCAAACCACGCTATAGTGAACCTTCAAGGGACCGACATTTCAGTTCACTATAACCGGGAGTTCACTATATCCATTACGCAGGTAATTTAACTAATGGTTCCCTAAATCCTCCCTTTTATTACACCTTATTCAAATAAATGACTGAAAAATATTAGGTAGTAGCAAAAAATGTGTTATTTTTTTAATACTCTTCTTGTGTACAAAAAAAATTAGTAATCCCTAGCTGATGAGCAATCCTCAACATCAGATATAGCAACATTTCCCGACTCTCAGATAATTTTTCCTGAATTTCTGTTATTCCGCTTTTTAAACCTGTCTAACCTGCTCTATTTTAACACATAAAAGTAGTCTCATAAAATCGCTCAGCAAATTCATCGACATTTGTTTAAATACTCTGAGATTGCGGTTTCTAATGCTGAACCACTTCAGTAATGCTTCTTCAACATCTTTGTGATTAGCTTTTCGCAATTTTTTTCTGGCATCTAAATTTTTTTCACGAGAAGAAATTATTAACTGCCCATTTTTTCATATTTTACAAACTGCAGATTTTGATAGTTTATATTCTCTGGAAATATCAACTTGATTGCATCCATTTTCAATTTTTCTGACTAAGCCTATTTTTTCATCAATGAAGAACGTTTTACGTTTACTGCTCGTCATAGAACGTCATAGGACTGCACGTCTTGTTTGCAGGCTTTTTTAAACTGAAATGAGGGCCTTATCAACACATATTAGTGTCCAACCCTTTAACCAATAATGATTCATTCCCTATGTTAAAAAATGCATATTGATCCCACTGACACCTTAGTGGTGCATCAATTGCCTGGGTTGGAAACATCTGCTTGGTTTGTTTAGGAATGGGAAAGTGAGATAATAGAAGCAAACAAGAAAAAATGCTTATCGCTACATTCCCCTCTATAGATAGTTTTAAAAATCGGTGCATGTATTTATTTTGAAGTAGAAAGTTCAAAGTTATTACAAAAAAAATCTGTCGAAGACAGAAAAAAGTTCATTATATCCAACTTCCTCACTTTTTTGGTTCACTATATCCACAAAAAATAACATTATACGTGTATAGCAAGGCACGGGACCGAACATTTTGTTCACTATATCTGGGAGTTCACTATAAACCTCGTTCACTATAAACCTCGTTCACTATAGCGGGGATTGACTGTAGCAGTAAACCCAAAAATTGGGTTGGCTGTTCAATGACGGTAATAAAATAAAATGCAATATAACACTTACAAAGTAAATGTAAGGTGTATTTACAAAGTAAAAAGAAATATAATTTCTTTGAAAGCATTTACTTTTCTATATATATCAAAGTGAAAGCCTTATCTGGATGAATGTTCGCTAATGACTCGCAAAAGGGAGCACCGATTTGGATTGCATTTTTTTTTTCAGCAGTTGGCAAATTTTCAAGGGGTAGTTTTAAAAAAATTACCTCTTTCTGGTATTATGTGGTTTGGCACAGTATCGAAAATACAAAATTCTCTTGATTAAAACCATTGTTATAGGTTAGAACATGTGATGTCAGGGAAACAGTACTTTTTAAAAAAATATTTTAAAAATAGAAGGAGGCAAAACCACTAAAAAAATTAAAATGTTTTTAAAGCTTGCATATTTTTCTTTTAATGTTAACATATGTTGCAGTATTCATTTTAACGATAAATTCACCTTAACGCCATATGAACATGTAAGAGACAAAAATAAAATCCACTCTCATTTAAGCAATGTGAGTTTATTCTACTTACATACTGCCCAGAATTTTGTGTATACGATTTTACACCTATAAATACTCTAAGTTCTGCATAAAGGTGAACTAGTCAGCCATAGGAGGCTAGTGTTTAATAAAATTAAAATATAGAAAGTGTTTAACGTTTATGAGTGAATTCTATTTAAAAATATTATTCTCTATTTCACTTTGGATAAATTACATGTACCTTTAATTTTTAAGTATATCCTAGAGTAGAATTTGTTTTGAGAATTTTTTCATTAAAAAAAATTTTTTTTTCTTCACGAAATTCAAAATGTTGAAAGATGACTTTTTTCTGCTTTAAAAACTTACTATGTATCTCTGTGCATATCAAAATTTGGTGTTTTGTCAAAGTTTACTGCTTGAAAAACAATTATAATTGATATGAAATGGATTTAATACAATTGAATAATCAATTATTAAAGATTTTAAGCAGGGACAGCTCTTTAATTTTTTATAAAGGTCACTCACTATTCCAGGACCACATCTGGTAAACACTTAACATAGAGCAGTGTTTCCCAAAGTGTGGAACACATACCACACTTTGGGTACCAGGGTAAACACCAGGGGTAAAAGAACAGTTTAGCTGGGGTATGTGTTCTTATGCAAAATATCTTGCAACAAACGAAATTTATCAAAAATTTTTATTTAGAAACAAAGCTAGCCATGAAAATTTACAATTACGTATTTTTCTCCTAGCTATATTTTGCTGAGTTAACAGTTAATAATTAGTGGTGTCAACAGCCAGTTGTGATCTTTAACTTTTGTGCAATTTTTTTATAGCAGCAAAAACAATATCATCCTTCGCACTGATGCAAATTAACTTAACAAAACTTTGTATCAAAAAAGAAAAATAAACATATTTTTAAAAAAATACATTCAATTTTTAATTAAAGGTACACAGCGTTACGAAAAATTTAGAAAGGGTACACAAAGGCCATAAGTTTGGGAAACACTGACATAGAGGATACAATCATCAAAAAAAAATTATTAACAAAATAAAAAATTGTTTTGTTAAGAAAATAAAAAATTATTTTGTTAACAGAATAAAAATTATAATCTATTATTTAATTATAATTAAAATAATATATTTTTATTTCTGATGACCAGCTGTGTTAACATTTCGTCAATTCAGGCATTTACAGAGCAGATTTGTTGGTTACTTTTTCAGGGGCACCATATTAGGTGGGCCAACATTGCTCCCACAGTAAGAACATATAGTACAGAGAATGACAGAACATCCATGCCTTGATCGGGATTCAAAGCCAGAATTTTTTTGGTGCAAAGTCAGTTCCCTGATCTCTACACAGTCCGGTCGACTAATTAAAACAAATAATACTTAAGATTTTTAGAGGTATTAATCTTCTGGTATTAAGTACACTGATTGAATTCGATTCTTGGTAAAAAATAAATAAAAGTTAGAAAACCAAGTCAATAGATTAATACTTGACATTAAAATGAATATTAAGATGCTTCCTGAAGTAAAAAAAGGAATTTTTAATGAAGCTTTTCTTACTTAATTAATTTGAGCTCGATAGGCAATTTTGCTTCACTTTCAACCCTCTTTTTCAAAATAAATAGTTTAATCAAATTATAATTTTAGATTGTATTAACAGAAAATTCTTAATTACAAACACTGTTTCATATATCAGAGGAAATTAACATAGAGAAATCAACAAACCTTGTCTTGGCAGATTCCATTTCAGACGTTAGTTTTGATAGCTGCTTTCGATACTTCAGAATATTGGAAACATCAGTCTGCAAATTTAAAAACATATTTAATTTTAGATTTTTTTTCATTTCATTTTTTACATTAAATTAGAAAAGACGGAGAAGAGGAAATTTCTTACATTTAGTATGTTTTGAAGGGGTCCGACAACTTCTTCCTTCACTTGAAGGGTATAGGTCATAAGGTCATTTGCCAGAGTATCTTGAATGTGAGCATAATCAACCAACGTTAATCTACAAAAGTATGGGAATTCATAAGAAATTAACTTTGTAAACAAGTATAAGAAGGTCACTAATACAGTCCTTTCAATTAAAAATTAATTTTAGTATTAAGATAACTAGAAAAACTTTGTCAGTAAAAAATAGGATTTGTGATAAAAAAGAAAATCGATTAGAAAAATTCATACATTTTATCTATGCTTGAAAAGAAAAAATAATTGTTAAGACAACAGTTCTTTACGACAATTCATGAAAACTCTCTTCCTTAATTCATTAAAGGTGGTATGTAAGGTATAAAATAATAATAGTCCATTAATTTAAGTGCACTTTTGATAAGTTCTTTTAAAAAATAAAATAAAGGAATTTTTTTTTCTCTCACTGTAACTGATATTTAAGAATTCTTTCTTCGTCTTTATTGACTAAAATTGCCACAAAATAGTATTTTTAACAGGCAATTAAAAAAACTGCTTTTATTTAAATATTATATAATTATTGTACATTGATCGATATATTTAACCATATATATGTCATAACAACATATATGTCTAACCATAATTATTTACAATGATCCATAGCGTTTTTTTTTATGTGCTAGGAAAATATTAATCTAGCAATATCATTTTACCATAAGTTAAATTTTATTATATAAATAATATAATTAAATAAACAAAATGGTTATATTTCCATTATCTTAAGTTAAAGAAAATTAAAACAATAAAATTTAGGCTAAAATCTAAATTTTTGTTTTAAACAAAAATTTAGTTGTTTGAATGAAATGTCTTTTATCTACAAAATAGAGACCAAAAGTATATTTACCAGATAGATAAAAAAAAATCTGCATAAATCTAAGACAAAAAATATTCAAAAAAACATACATTCGACAAAAGACATTTTCTTAAATGCCTTTAATTATTGAGTATTTAATTTCTTAAAAATAATTAAAGTTAATGAAAATTTAGCAGTTTTCCTATGTATGGAACAATGGAAGAAGTAATCGAAGACAACACATGACAGTGCAAGAAACTAAGCAGAAGTTACTGAAAAGAGCTATAGAAATGAAAACTTATCTTGGTATGCTAGAAAATTTTCACACTTCTGCATTTAATAATGATGATGAAAAATTGTTTTACGTATAAAACTATTGACATTGTTAGTTATCTGGGGAAAAATTACAACTAGAATTAACTTAAGTATGTTTTTTTTTTTTGGACAGTTAAATCGTCTTGTTTGTAATAATGAATTTTTTCCACATTTTGTTTGTTGTATGCTGCTTGTGATGTTTTTTTGTTAACTTTCTGAAAAATTTATTTGTTTATAACTCTGAAAAGGGGCAACTTTTAATAGCGATCACATAGGTACAGTTCTGCCAGTGATGTTTGTTCGGAGCTTATAATGTGACAATAATAAATTTTACGTTTTAATGTCCCTAATTGTAGACAGGATACCCCTTTTATACTTTGTTTATGGTAAGAACTTCCCCTGCCACAAAGTCTGAGACCGTCTGCTGCCATGGGAACAAGAATAGCGCATTTCAGGGAAAGTAGATTCTCCTCACTCTACAGCTAACACAATAGACCAAAAAAAAATATTTCTTTTCTCTCGCCGACCGGAGCTAAAAGCTGTCCAAAGCAGTCAGAGGTCTGTCCAGACATTTTGTGAAAGGTCCGTTTTTCGTGAAATTGTGAAAAAATTACTCACATTCTTTCATCCAGGGTCCGCTTTTATGAATTTGTGCAAATAGGGTCCGTTATTGCAAAAAAAAACTTTTTCAAGGATTTTTTAAATTGTAAAGGCATACAAGATTATGCTCAACACTGTAAAATTATAATTAAAAAAATTAAATTTTAAAAAATAAACAACAATTGCTGCTTCTAAATTAGAGATGCAACATACAAATATTTGGTATTTAGCCTATACTGCTGAACGCAGAATATTAATTTCGGACGAATAATGGAAGAATCGTCTGCCGAAGACAAAACTTAATTCGTTTACATCCATCTTTCTTGTTTTCTGCCCTGGAAAGGGTTTATTCGATTAACAAAATAATAATGAAGATAAACAAATTTGTGAAGGGTCCGATTAAAAGAAAAATCATTTTGTGAAGGGTCCGTTTTTAAGTTAAAATATTTTGTGAAGGGCCCGTTTTTATAAAAATATATTCTGTGAAGGGTCCGTTAACGGACCCAAATTTCTTCTAAACAGACCCCTGGCAGTGACGCCACATCCCTACTTGAAATAGTTATACCCCGTTACCATAGTCACCACCACGGGTTCACACGAATGGCTAGGTGAGTTCTTAGTTTAGACAAACTATAGTTGGAAGTCTCAAGCTATTTCATGCCACTGGGCATAATGTGGTTCAAACTACAATGAATAAAATAAACAAACCCAAGAATGGAACTTTCTCCGAGAGACAGTCCCCATTCTTCCATGCATTGAGCCAGAGCAGCTTCTGGAGTTTTCTTCTGAAAATAAATACATCTTCATTAGTAAATTATTTGTTGAATGACCAACTAAAGATTACAGCTCAATTCTATTAATCTAAAGAGTGGTTGTTCCGAGAGAAAAAACATTGTACTACCCTGAAATGAGTTTAAGAAGGGGTGAAATGAGTTTAAAGGGATAAAAATAGTTGTTCTCTATATAAAAGCATAACCAAAATATCACATTCAAATTTTCGGAAAATAAACACATTAAATCTAATTTTTATAGTAGGTGCCTAAAAAACTACTGACAATTTGAAAAATCATATAAATGCGCAACTTCTTGTGTTCAACATAGGAAAACAGAAAATTTAATGGCAACAAGTTTCAAAATTAGTTTTAAAAAAAAAAAAGTCAACAGATGTTGCTGCAAAGTTAAAAAACGATTAACACAAAGCAACAAAAATTTCGATTCCAAATTTTGTCATTAAAATATCTTACTATATGTAAAATATATAATGTTGGTGTCGCAGTTTTCCATTGTTCCCGGTGCATTTTTATTGGTCAGAAAATCACATGGTATGATCCAATTTACCCACATTAATTTTCATATTGGTTTGGTTGTCATTAGCATAAGATTAATATAAGTCACAAAGGTATTGTTTTCCTATAAATATTTTTGCATCCCTAATTTAAATATATTTACCTTTATTTTCATTATCACGTTTTTGCTTTTGTTTATTTTCTAAATTAAAGAGTTTAAGAGGATTGTTATTTCTAAACATGATTACTTAGAAAAACGATTTATATTCACTAACATATCTTAATAGTATCATAAAGGGGGGGGGAGGTATTTGGACAAGGAAAGTGGCAGGAAATATGTTCTTTTTAATGCAGTTTTTAGTTGAATAATTTCAACTGTTTCATGCCAAGAAACAGCAATTATTGCAAAGCAATCATCGGGTTGGTGAGCACCAGCGAACAAGGGGCATAGCCCCCTAATAAATTATAATTTTTACGAATTGATATAAAAAATATAAAAAGACGCAAGTTTTGTTTCGGAACTTGTTTTTTAAAGAACAAAAAAACTAATATGGAGTTCTTGAGTCAAGTATTAAAAGATAAAAAACTAGTTAAAATTCCCAATGAGTATACACACATTATATATACATATATATATATTGATTTTTTACTTTGGTCAATATTTTCATTACTCCAATAATATTTACCGGCACTTAAAGTAAAATCTTATTCAATCGTTACTATTAGCGATAATTTTTTTTGATACATAAAGTATCAAAATATTGCATTTAATGATTCATATTCCTGTTATCGATAATACCATCCTATACGACAGTTATTTTTGTCGATCGCGATAACCTCAGAGTATTATCAGCGACCTGTGTAAACCACAATCTAGTGTTGGTTCCCGAAGTAGGGGATAGTCGGGTTACCCCGCCCACTTAAGAAGTATTGCTTATATTTCTGTATAATATTGAGTAATAATCAATATTTTTGAATGTTTCTATTGTTTTATCATCTAATTAAATAATGCAAAAAGAATAAGCCAAAAAAGAATAGTTTAACTTAAAAAAATAGAAATTTAAAAAAACATGTTTTTCAGCTCTTTTCAAAATGTGTCGGGTAGCCCCGCCCAGTTACAATAATTACATTTTATGACTGTTTTTTCAGGTGTAAATGAGAATGACCAATGTATTGACAATAGATAAACCTCATTTATCATTTTTATCACAAAATTCAACCGATTTTTCTTAATTTCATGACTACCGTATTCAACATATTTTCAAAACTACTGCTTACCATGTTACCAGCTGCATAAATACTTGAAACTTTGAAAATAATATTTTTTTAATATAACAATTAATGTCCGATGGCCCATTGACTTGAAAAAATATTCTATACATATGAAATTGACAGTGATCGGGGGTACCCGACACTCCCCTACCAGAATTAGTTGTTTCAAAATTCAATTCCTGTCCATAAAAATGCATTTCGTCAGGGTGTCTTATTCTTTTAAACAAAACCCTAATATTTGCTGTTGAAAAAAACAAATATTGGACAAACTCAAATTATTCGTACTTTCTCTGACTTTTCGGTTACTTTAAATAAATCCTCTGACATTTCCTTAATATTTGCAGAGTCATAAAATTCTCTGTCCTCTGGCTCACCTGTTCATATATATATATATATATATATATATATATGTGTGTGTGGGGGGGGGCGGGGTGATTCTCACGAAATAGGAGAGTTCACTGTCCCTTGCTCCAAGATCTAATACTATAATACTAAAAGAACTTTTTCTTAAAAAAATTAATAAATTGCAGTGCTGTTAGCATTTTAAAATGACTTTGCACTAGCATTGACTCTTTTGTATACTTAAAAACTTTTATTGAACTTCAAAATGTCATTTTCCTCCCATGTCCCAAACAATGTTTCCTAGCTTCAATACTAGCTTCAAAACTTCCCATAAANTATATATATATACAGTCAAATCCCATTTCAGCGAAATTGTTCGATGCAACGAATATTTTTCAAATCCCCAAATGAGAGCTGTGATGCTCAGGGGATGAGGAGAACCCAGTCGATACGAATTCCGTATCCGGCTTGCACCGACCACAATGCTGACTTGAAATATCCTCAGTGGTAAACGGATCATGAGTTAGAATCTCCTTGCCGTCAGGCTAACCGTGGGAGGTTCTCGTGGTCTTCCACTTCATGTAACGCAAATGCGGGTTAGTTCTATCAGAAGGTCCTCCACGAAGGCAAATTTCTCCCAATACTCGATCCAGGAGTTTCCTTGTCTTCTGGATTGGGTTCAAAATGACAAGGCTATGGAGTTGAATATTTGTAATCGTAAACCCAAAAATTGGGTCGGCTGTTCAACGACGATTATAAAAAAAAATCCCCAAATGAATCTCCATAGAAACAATGAGTTAAAAATACCGATATTACGAAATTGGTAATCGTAATATTTAAGGAAGGTGGAAATAAGCAACAATTCTCATTTTCTCTCATGATCAAGACACTTTTCCGTTCTTCAAAAGTACACAATGGTCTCAGAATTCAAATATTTTTGCGCATCTTCAAATTAAAAAGTTTCAGATGTGAAAAAGACATGTCAAAAAAAGACGCGGAAGGGACCTGAAAAGACTAAACCTCAACCTATTCATGTTTGAAGAAGTAAAAATACACGTGGCTTTCCAAAAGAGTGATTTCCAGTTAAGTTCAGTTTGAAAATGTGCAGAATTTTGGAGGAGTTTGTAATTTCTACTGGTTCTAAATCATTTGCGCAGAAAAAAAAATACGGATTACGTAATTTCTGATAAGTGAGTGATAATAAATCCACTGTGCATTTTTATTTAAAATTGTTTTTGAGAGCTTTCAAAATATTGAATTGATATTTTCTACAGGTAGAGTACAAATACACTCTATAATAAAAAAAAAATCGACGTACCAAGAAGGAGTTGTCCGATTGAAACGAAAATTGGTGGATAGGAAGACAATGTACAGAATAGTAAATTATTAAAATTTCAGAACAATTGAATAATTTATTGCAGAGTTACAGCATCAAGTTCAATAAGGTGTTGACCCGCCTCTAGCCTGGATACAAGCAGCCACACGGCGTAGCATAGACCGATAAAGTTCCCGGATGGTCTCTTGCGGTATCTGTGCTGTAAGTGTACCTCTAATGACGACCAAAGGGGTCCGGCTGTCAAAGGAAATGGCACCCCAGACCATAATGCCTCGTTGAGGGCCGGTGTGGTGTGCAATAGTGAAGGCAGGAGGATCCCCCCTCTGCCCAGTGCGTCTCCAAACACGTCTTCGATGATCGTCAGGACACAGTTGGAAGCGGGATTCGTCGCTAAAGACTATACGTCCCCAGTCGGCATCATTCCAGCCTGATCGAGCGTCGATTTTGCTCGTCTTAGTGCTTTCTTTCTGCGTTGATTTTTTTTTGTTATAGAGTGTAGATCAAAACTGTCATTAAATGCAATATTCATTATTGTTTTATGCGAAAAATTCCAATGTAACTAAACAATTTTGGTTAATGTAGAAATTCGTAATATCGGTATTACGAATTTTCGTTACAGCGTAGCGATTGCTTTGGTCCCTAGGAACTCGCTAAAACGGGATTCGACTGCATATATATAAGAATAAATAAAATAAATAGAGACGTGTACCACAGCATTGCTTCGCTTGTCGGTGGTTTCGGCCAACCTGTTGATGCATGCCGACAGTTTCTTTCCAGTGGCGTAGCAACTTTCCTTGATGAGATCGACACGCTTTTCAGCCGCATTCAGTTCCTCAGACAGAACACTCCCACTCTTCTCACTGAGCAAAAGAAAAGAAATAATCAAAAATACAGTTCACAATACAAATTGTCGTTACAAACAAATGCCCATATTTAATGTTAAAACAACTAAATTAAAAAGACACATTCACCCTTTTTACTTTCGAAGAACTATGTGATTCAAAGTACGGATCTCAAGAGGACCCCATACCGCGGAAGAAAATTCTCCTGACAAATTCTCTTTCTCCTTTTGTACTAATTTGAAATTTAACAAATTCTCTTTCTCCTTTTGTAGTAATTTAAAATTTAAAAGAAAGAAAAAGTGAGTTGAGACAAACCTAGAGTTAAGTCATGAAGTTTCAAATACTGAAAAGAAAAATTTAAAATATACAAATAAAAGTAAATGATGAGATGATAATTTTGTATTATGCGCCGGAGAAGTTCACTTCTAATAATTTGTTTGCAATTTTAATATTTTGAAGTATTTTTTTCAGCAATTGAAACATTATGACTTACTCTAGGTTTGCCTGAACTTACTTTTTCTTTCTTTTAAATATTGAATAAGTAATGAAGGAGAAAGAGAATTTGCGAAGAAAATTTTCTTCCGCGGTATGGCGTCCAAGTGGGAAAAGATTGAAGGCAAAAAAAAAAAACTTTTGACGTCATCGATAATATTGAATATCGATTTCTATTGTAAAGTGTCTATTAAGGAAATAAGGGAGCAATGTAGATAGATGTCAACAAAAGGTTCATTCTTTCGAAGTGTGCTGCGGAATTCTTAAAAATAGCTGTTAATTTTTCTTTCGATGAGGAGAAAGATAACTCGGCCGGTGGTCGCACACACATCACTTTATTAACAAAAAGGAGAAACTATGTTCGTTATTAACTTATCTGTATTGATACCGAAAATGAATAAAAAGTGCCTTCAATTTATTCTCTTTCGTATAATATTGTTCATTTAAACAGTAGAAAAATGTCATTTCTTCTAAAAAAATGTCGCAATAGCGGAAGGCTAAGCTTGTTACAGACATACAGTTTTTCAATCTTTAATATTTGGATAGGTAAGTACTTTATCAACTTAGAGATTAGCATTAGAGATTTTGTGACGGTGAGGGAAACATCCCTGAGGATGATCCGAAGGCATGCCATTGCAATTTTGATCCTCTGCAGAGAAGATGGCTCCTCTGCTTTGGTAGCCCGACAACCTGCGAGCGAAGTTGAGCGTTTTATGGTAGAACAGTTTAAAGAGGACCGCGCACCTTCGGTCCCTACGCAGGCTGATCAAAGTGGTGACCCACCCGCTTACTGACCGCTGCCAATGATGCTTGACTTCGGTGTTCAATTGGGAATCGTGTCTTTACAATCAGTCCACTGCGGGACATAATATTTGTACTTTGACGAAGATTAGGAAACTTACGGTCCTCTCATGGTATGCAGTATTCTTTATGGCGAGCTCTTACTGTAGTATAAAAATATCAACGGTGTTCAAAATAATATACAATATCTGTGTACAGAGATTTGCATGCATAATGTGTACAGAGGTACGTAGATGTCTAGGGCTAATTCCTCGATTAATTGCCCCCGAAAAATCCCTCGATTATTTGATGAATTGCCCCCAACATTGTTATCAATCTCTAAAGAGTTATAAAAAATTCTACTAAAAAAAAAAATTTGAAACACTANGGTCTTTACAAAGTATCAAGTAAAAATCTATTAAAGAAAGCTAAAATAAAAACAATAGAAGATGAAATTAAAAAACGAAGATGGAGCTGGCTCCGACAATGCCCAAAGAAAAAATTACATCTGTTGCGCTTACATGGGCCCCTGGTGGTAAAAGAACAAGAGGAAGACTCAGACTTACCATCCAGCTCATGTTTTTGGGTGGATTAAAAGAATGTAGAATATCTGGCTGGGAGGAAGCAAGATCTATTGCTAGAGATAGGAGGCGTTGGAGGGATATGCTAGAGGCCTTAAGTGCCCAAAAGCATGTAGAGGATAAGTAAGTAAGTATGAAAATATGTACTATTTTGTTCTTCATAAAATATTTTGTTGAAGCCAAAATAGTTTAACTTAAAAAAAAAAAATTGAATTTCCCATTAAAAATACTACTACTCTAGTAGCAGATTATCAGTTATTGATTAAATGCCTGAAGCCGCTGCCGTATGTCATTGTTAGTTTCATGATCTCCTTGATCATGATCTACGTAATATGTATGTACGGTGACCAACGTACTCCGATAACTTTTGATCGGATCGTTATGCTCTAGGACTTAATGATTCGAGGAAGTGATTTCAAATATGCTCATTAATTAATGAAGACGATATTTTAAGTTACGAAATTAAACACAGAAACGAACTTTTTCTAAATAAACATACCTTTTTTATGTCTGATTCGGATTTCTAATCCCCAAAATACTGAAGGTAGCCGTAATCTGGGAAATGTGGTCACAATAGTTCTGTCAGGAGAGCGATGTAAGGTTTGAAAAAAATTTCCTAATTATCTCGATCGCGCATTTCATGGATAAGAAAACAAACAAATCAGCAATTTTGTTAACAATCAAACTGAGCTCTTATTAATCATGCGAACGAATAAATTTTAATTGTAAGTTTTCTTCGCCGAAACGAACTTTAACTGTATAAAAAAAAAATTTAAGATAAAAGAATACACGGATGTAAAACACTAAAGATTACATTTTAACGCAAAAAATAAACTTAAAAAATATAATTTAGCTTAATGGCGCAGTTAAAATACTAAAAGACAGGATAACCAAGTAAATCAGTATTTACATTAAAAACTTAAAATCACTCACTACATTCATATGATAGATTAATTGTCAATTAAAATCGATAATTAAAATGAAATTTGAATCCCAATCAGTTTTGCTTAACTCTTTATGTCAAGACGAAATATTTTTTGCTGGCTTATATCCAGGATTTAAGACTAATTGTGAGTTTTACGTTTAATGCATCTAGCCGCTGTTGGTGTCAAACATCTCTTCAATAAAAATGTGGCTTATTTTTGTAAGTTTTATGATATTTTCACTTCAAGGATAGTAATAAGTAATCAGAAAATTAAAAATTTGTGATTAAAAAATATGTCAAAATTGTTATTAATACTTGGCAACAAAAAGTTTGAGTATTAGAGTTAAATAATTATAAACGTTTTGAAATTGAAAATCCGTTTCATTTTTTTATTTTTATTTTATTATCGTCGTTGAACAGCCGACCCAATTATGGGTTTACGACTACTAATGTTGAACTCCGTAGCCTTGTAATATTGAACCCCATCCAGAACACAAGAAAACTCCTGGATCAGTACCCCCAGAGATATGATTTGTTATGGGAACGAATAGTGAATGATCATAGGCATTCTGTAACTTTTCCCAATTCATAAACATGTTTTATTTGGATTCCTTTACATTATGTTTCAACTCTCACCCTTAAATTTCCCAAGAAGTGTAATCGAGCCTTGATGGCTCAGGGGATGCCCCCCAATGAGGTAAACCGGGTTCGAATCCCAGCGATGGCTGGTCGATAAAAATTCCGCATTCGGCTGGCACCGACCACAGTGCTGACGTAAAATATCCTCAGTGGTAGACGGACCATGGGTTAGAGTCCCCTTGCCTTCAGACTAACCTTGGAAGGTTTTCGTGGTTTTCCTCTCCATGTAACGCAAATAAGAGTTAGTTACATCCAAAAGTCCTCTACGAAGGCAAAATGTCTCCCAATACTTTATCCAGGAGTTCCCTTATCTTCTGAATTGGGTTCACAATTACAAGGCTACGGCGCTGAACATTAGTAGTCGTAAATTCATAATTCATTGCGTAATTCATACAAAATGTTAATAAATAAATGTTAACAAAATGTTAATAAATTCATTGCGTAATTCATACCCGTAACTTAAATATTTTTCTTCGTAAGGGGTAGAATCAATTTTGTCAACAAGATCAAGATTATCAACAAGATCAGCATATTGACATAAATTTAATACATACTACGTAAATTTAAATTTACAAAACGGTGATGATGATTTATAAAAAGATGATTTCATCATGTTTCAAAATTGTAATGATTCCGTACTTGTAGATTTGTGATTTTATTAGAGGCGGTCATTGTACCATGAGCAGACGGAACCTTTGATAAAAAAAATCTGGAACGATCCCTACAAGCAAAATCTTGTAATAAGGATTCTCCGTGTAAAGAAACCACCTTTTCTTTGCAACGAACGCGGATTAACTCAAAACAGAAAAAAGTGAGAGAATTTCGAAAAGAAAGAGTGCCAAGGAGAACTAATTCCGCCATCCCATCCTTGAAAACAGCCGGAGTTATTTTTACTAACATCCCGCCAACTATTTGATACAGCTTCGAACTCTAAAATATATTAAAATAATTCTCCAACATTACTCTTCATTTTTTTCCCAACCATCATAAAGATTATTTTATTTTTACGTTTTAGGTGGAAGAAAAATTTATTCTAGTTTTAATAAATACGATTTAAAATTCATAATTTGGCCATTGAAACATTAATTTAATGCGTCAGGCGAAATTTTTTAATGAAATGTTATCTTACTACCATTTCGGAAAACGCTCTCGCGCCAAATAAAACTGTATACGTAAACCCGTAAACCTCTTGAATTCAACTATAATACACTGCTGGACAATGGCTAAGGACGGACCACAAATGGCTGCATAGCGCATAAAAAATTAAACGTGGTTAAATGAATAATAATAATATAAAAGTACGTAAGGACATTAAAAAAAAAGATAATTTATTGTGCTCTGAAACCCAGAAGGTTTGAAATGTGTTTAGGGGTGAGCCCTGGTGGCTCAGGGGTTAGAGCGTTCGTTTTCCAATGAGGTGAACCGGGTACAAATCCCAGCGATGGCGGGTTGCACCCAGCTCAGACCGATCACATTGCTGATGTAAAATATTCTCAGTGGTTGACGGATCATGGGTTAGAGTCCCCTTGCCATCAGTCTAACCGTGGGAGGTTTTGGTGGTTTTCCTTTCCATGTAAAGCAAATGCAGGTTATTTCAATTA